TTGTAAGATCAGACGCCCGAATGGTGTGAGAATGGTTGAGTGAATTCAGGTCAGGGAGTTCCTTGGTACTCGTTCCTCTTTTAGCCTCCACCCACTGAGACAGGTGAGCACCCCAGAGGCTACAGAGGAGGTGGGTGGGGGGGGTTACCCAAATGTTTACACATGGTGTGGGTCCTCTTAATCCTCCTCTACAGCCTCAGGCAACTTACCCACGACCTTCCGAGACACTACGAAGATGCATACTGACAACCTGGCTTACAATCACACAAAGCTATGACACACAAAAGGCACATCTGAATGTGAGTGTGTGCGTGTATTTGAGATCTGTCTTTTGATTGAAAGCGACAAGACGCAGAGAGGCCTTCCCTGACCTTGTCTCACCCGGTGGGATTCCCGCTAACAGACACTGACAAACAGTAATCTACCATTTGAAAGCCTGAAAAAATGGCGACCATCTCACACGTAAACGCCAAGACTTTTGGACCTTTAACCTCCCCTTCCCCCCGGCTTTACTCTCTCACTATAACAACTGCAGTCAGATAAGCTGACACACAGGAGACATACAGTCAGGACACAAAGGAGCTATTGACAAACTTATGGAAATAACCTGCTCTAATTATGGTGCTTTGTCATAAGTCGCAAAAGCTAGCAAGTGGATGGAGGGCCAAGGATCCAACACTCAGTAAATCCAGAAAATCTCATAATCAGTACCTTCTGACAGACGATGGTTATCTGTATGTGAGCAGAGACTCTAAGAAAAGGAGTGCTGATTTAGGATGTTTTGTCAGGGTACATGGTCATATGAAAAGTTAAATCAAATACTATTGTAGAGAAAAGACATTGTTCGCTTACTTCCTTGGTCGGTTTGTTCAAAAACCCACCATCACATACATTAACAACGATTTCTTCAATAACAGAATCTCATTATAGAGTAAAAGTGATAAACCAGTATGTAATGTGTCAAAGGGCCCCATTTTAGGACCATAATTAGTGGCTAGTTTCATTATCCAATAATCTGTGGATTAAAATTTTTTTTTTTGATGAATTGATTATCTATAAAATGCCAGAAAATACTTTAAAATTGCCATATCAACATCCCGAGAGAATCATCTTCAAATTTCTTTTTTCACAATTATAGAAAACAGATGTAAAGCAGCATATTCTCACAGTTGAGAAGCTGGGATGAGTTTTGCTTCATAAACAATTTTTAACTTAAACAATAATTTTACATACAGTAGTTTTCTTGTGGTCAATCAATCGCATAAAAAAGACTAAAACCAAGAACGAATTGATCCAAACAAGTATCATCTGTGTAGCCAAAGCCTCCATTGTTGTCCAAAATATATTAAAAACACATCAGTGAGCCACACTGTTTCACTGGGTGACATGTTGCTTCATTACAATGAACATAGTTTATTTTCAGTCAATCCCACATACACTATTACTCCACAGCTGAAAATAGTCCCCAACAAATGTCCTGTTTAATCCTTTTTGAGTAATGATTTCTATAAACTACAGTACCAACCTGTTTTAGGAAATTAGTTTGAAAATGTATATTGACCTGATTTCTGTCTTCAGTAAGAACCAATGGGGGGCTGAGAGCCAAAGACAAGGTAGGTAAGTATTGAGAGACAGACTAATGCTTTGTTGGTTTTGGTCTTTTCATTGGACTTGTTGGCAATAAGAAAATATTAAATATCACCAACCTTATCCTTGTAAGGATGTTTAAGACAACCAAAAATGCCAAGTGTTATCCTTTAATCCATACTCAAAGTTACTGGTGATTACTTTTCTGTTGATCAACCAATCATATCAGTGCCAGAAGCTTTGTAGCAACTTAGCAACACTAAAAGAAGGTGTGCCATTCATGTATCTGCTGTAGTTTCATTTCAGATTTTTTTTTCTTTTCTGGTTTAAATTCATTGAAAAGGAGGCGGCCGGGTTTTCTGTACTCAAACTGTCAATCAGAGCACTTTGATTCAAATCTGATCCTTCGCCACTGAGCTCTCAAGAGGCTGACCTACTTTACAACAAATTGCTGATGCATCTCTTGCATTCATCTGCTCCTGTGTTCACTTTCTTCATCTCTGTTTTCAAGCTCTCTGCTCCACTTTTTTTCCCAGCTGAGCACCAGCAGTTTCTCTTCACCCCCACCTCCTCCTCCTCCTCCACCACCCTGCTTCTTGCTTTTATTATCTGGACAGGTATGGACAAGCCATCCACTGGGCTGCTTGTTGTTTTGAAATGTGATCGGGTATAAGTGGAACGCGCCTTTTATAACGAGCTGACCATCCAGAGCTAAAGCTGTAAACTATTGAAAACCAAACTGTGAATACAGGATTAAAGCCATGAATTAAAAGCGAGCCAAATGCCCTTGAAGAAAAAGAAGAGTTGCTGCTGTTGTACTGAAGAGCAACACCTGGTTTGTGTTTTTTTCCCCCAGAGGAGCAAAGACGCACAAAAAACAAACATTTTCGAGAAAAAGCAATGCCTCCTGTGCCAGAAAGGTATTATCTCGTACGAGTAAAAATGTGAAACACACTGCTTCGTATTGGCCCAGTCATAATGTGAAATAACCTGAGGGCTACAGTGCTAGACAGGTGTGCAGCAACACAGCCGGGGCAGCGCTTGGCACACATTGCCTCCAGGCTCAAGTTTTTAACCTTCATCTACGGGCCAAATATTCTCTGACACGCAGATTAACTAATAAATGACAGAGCCTGAGCAGTGCTGCCTAAAAAGTGAAGGGTTTGTGCTTTCAAGGAGATCTCCGGTTGTCTTAGAAAAGCAGCTTTCCTACTCACAAGTCAAAGCCATCACATTACTATATTATTATTAAGTGAATGCACATCGTTTTAACTCAGTAGGTGGTCTGTTTTATAGTCCAGGTTTGAGTTCACGTCCAACTTCAGAGGCCCCCCAACCCTGAGATGAAACCCTCTGACACACAGAGACACTTTTCCACATTCCCTGGATGACTTGGCAAGCTCATTCTTCTGAAATTGACCACTAAACCGAGGCAGGAGACAAACAAAGAAACTCAGCTGTACACGTGCAAGAGCAAGGACTACTATTATGGGCTATTAAGGCTGCTGCTATTTAGGCCACGAGCCAAAAGGCCAGGAAAGTGAGGGGCCTCCACAAAACATCAGTGTCACTGATGTTTAACCGGCAGGTTCTGCCTAATGATTTTAGCCTACTTTTAGGAAAAACAGGTCAGTGCAAAACACAGAGCAGAGACAGTCACGTTCAGGTTAGCAGCTGAGTGTGTGTGTGTGTGCACGTGAATGTAAATAACATAGGGAGCACAGGTAGCATTTGCATGTGAGGTTAGCAGGAGGAGGTGAGGGAGGTATGGGGTAGAAGGTGTGGTATCCTGGATCGTTTCCCCACAGCACACAGCACACACACACACATGCTCAGACAGCCACTGTCTGAGTGGCAGGTGATGGGGCAGGTGCTCTCCAGACGTACAGTGGGGGAGGGAGGAAGTGGGAAGAGGGAGGGTCCTTGTGGTGAGCTGAGATATAAATCTGTGTGTGATATGAGCAGGCATGCAGAGGAAAATCAAATGTACAGTAGCGTTCTTTAGAGGCTAGAAATTGATTCCCAGCTAAAGGAAATCAGTCATCCTAATTTTTTTTTTTCAATGTGATGACTATTAAGAAACAAAAGAATATTGTTATCTGAAGTCTGCCATCATACAGGGGATCTCCAGCCGGTAATAAAGTGCAGTAAAACAGTTCAAGGTCCTGATTTATGCTTTGTGCTGGTACATGTTTGCCCAACGTGCAGGTGGTGCGTTCGAGTCAGACATATCGTAGTAAATCAGATAATCCAGAAAACACCCTCAGCTATCTATTTGCACTTCAGACAAAATATGTACCTCCAGACTATGCATACAAACAGCAACAGGAGTCAACTCACATGACAATACACTTAGTCATCAGGATGGCAGACAGAAAAGGCATCCGTCACCTCAGCCCGTCTCCTGGCTGAGAGAGTTTGAAGATGTCGAGAAAAAGTCTGGAAGGTGGTAATCTGTCTCACATGTGGGTCACAACAAGAAGAAGGTAGCAGCTTCCGCAGAGCTAAAAATCATAACCTTGAATTGTTGTTTATCTCTCATGAAGCAGTGTCAACAACTCAGGGTGAATCTAAAACCACTGTGCACTGCTGAGAAACTGAGAAACACACTTATTTGCATGAATGCATGAACTAATGAATATGCACACTTCTCGGCCAACAACCCGAGGCTCTTTCAGGTCTTATGCTAAAATGTCCCACGAAGGAGAGCAGCAGAGTAGAGTGTGTGAGCTGCTGCGCCAACTTTCAGCCATGTACAATTTTTAACAACCCCTCATCCAACATACTCGAGACATGCACTTACCTGCCCCGCTCTGCAACAACTCATTGCTGCACTGTAACCATCACATTCAAGGCTCAGCTCACCCTGCACTGCCTAGGGAGCTGCTGGAAACATTATGGATGCAAGCAACCACTTCTTCCAAGAGAATAAATGAATAGTGAATCTCACTGACAGGATTTATGCGTCTACTTGTTCCAGATATTGGGCTCTGCAACTTTATTGATGCAGGAAAACAATGGTAAAACTCAAATTTCACATTTTAAACCTGTATTTAACTGCAATGCACATGCATATATTCAAGGAATTGGCAGGTTTTGTCAGTAAAGATGTAACAATATCCAGGCAAAAAGAGTCCTGTGTTTGCCACCCGATAGTCCATTGCATAGTGGTTTCCTGAATCCTATATGGAGACAATATCTACCATTGTTTTCAGAGTGTATATGCTGTGAGAGAAATGCAATGCACCTGACAAGCGGCACAGCACTACTTCCTCCAAAGTGCACACAAAGCAGAGCCTGCAACTAACACAGCTCAACTTTCACTCCCAGCAGGAAGAGATCATGGAACGTTAAAGTATTTCTCTGCCGTGTTCATGTAAATGAGCTATTGTTGCTGTTTTTCAGTACTTTACCTCATTGGTGTTAGCAGCCTAGTGTGTGCGCTGGATGGTGGCCAGCAGCAGTGTGTGAATCCAGGCCATCCCAGGGTCAGACTGAGCCACTCTGCTATCCATTGCTGCCTTGTGTTCCTCCCGGCTTCTTTTCTCCCTTCTCCTCCCTCGTCTTTTTTTCCTCTCCTTTTTTTAAATCGCAGCTCAGACTTTTTTAAACTGTGCTCTTCTGCCTGGTTCTTCTTCTTCTTCTTCTTCGTCTTGTTCTCAGCCTCCTCGGTAAAACAAAAACAGGTTGAAAAACAGCCACCACTTGCTGCTCTCAGAGCTACTTACAATGCAGATCCTCTCTCTAAGCTCCTCTGCTCTCCCTTCCCTTCCCCTCCCTCCCTCTCTCTCTCTCTCTGTCTCCCTGTTGGGGAAGAGCTCTCTCATTTTCTCTCTTTCTCCTCCCCCTCTCTTGCCCTTCCTCTAACTCTAATAGTTATTTAGTGTCTCATTTCAGCACCTGCTTTGAGACAGAGAGAGGAAGGCACCAGTCAGAACTGGAGAGAAAAATGTTGCTCCTTGATGGGAGTGTGCACAAGTAAAAATGTGCATGTGTGTGTCTGTGTATTGGTGTTAGCGTCTACTTTATCAGAAAAACAATACATACTTGTGAACTGTGTTAACTGAATATGTGAGGTTTGCATTACATTACATTCAAATTCAAAACAAGCACAAATCCTTGCATGCAAAAGTACACATTTGCTTTGTGCATGTCTGTATTTGCATCAGTGTGTGTGTGCAGATTGAAATGCCTGCGGCTGTGTGTGTGTTTGTTTGTCTGTATGCAGCTTTCACTAAACGTCAAACTGTGGAGTTGGTGACAGAAAGAAGCTGCTGCAGCATGCTTGAACTCTTTCATCTCTTGCAGTGCTCTCCGCTTGCTGCTGTATCAACTATGTTCACTAATCAAACATGAAAAGAATGATGGTGGCGGTGGGGGTAGGGGTGGGGTGGTGGGACGGGTTACCTCGGGACACTAGTTTACTGAGCAGTGGACGTGTAATTGTCCCCATTTTTGTTAAAGGGGGAAAACAGGTCGCTAAAGACTTGAGAGCTGTTTGTGATGTTCCTTTTGTATGCCTGAGACAGTGTTCAAATTAACCAATTAATAACATAGGACAAAGTTGTTTTAACCCTGAACATTCCTCAGTAGCTTTAAAGCTGCACTAATCAACATGTTACATTTACAATGTTATAAGAATTATCATCTGATCGGGTGTTGTACGGATTGCAAAGCCCATTTTAGGCTATATAAATAAAATTAGGCTAGACAAACCGCCTGCTTTGGCTTCATTTCCAGACGTAGCACTCAGCTGTTTGTGGCAGAAAAGCTCTAAAAAGGCGACTGTTTACCAGCTTTATAAAGTGATATGTCAGTGCTGTGTATTTGACCTTATTTTGCTTAAAGAGCCCCTCCAGTTATGTTTTAACATGTATATAAAGTTCTCTTCTTTAAACACTAATTTGTATCTGATATGTTCTTTTCACAAAAAATACATATCTTGTTAAAATCTCTGAATGACATTTACTACTATAATATTGTAGTGTCTTTTGCAGCTTTATACACATTATTCTCCAAAATCCAACCAGACATATTTAATGTTTGGAAACTTACAACCTCCGCTAAAAATTTAAATAAAGTTCTGTGGGTTTGAACAATATTTTGCTGCACAAAAAGAGTTTGTAATGACTGACCAACCAAGGATCAATGAGATTTAAGTGGTTTAAGAGGTTGTCTTAATCTGATTTCTTTTTTTTGTTGTTCAATATAAGATCAGCAGAGATATGGGTTATTCAGAATTATTGATTATATATATGTATATATATATATATATATATATATATGTATATATATATATATATGTGTGTGTGCAAATGATCATATTATCATTTTCTGATTTATGCATACAAATGTAACAATTAATTGCACTGAACATCAGATTGATTATTATATGTAATTATGCACATATTCTACATATTTGTGATATACAGTATATCAATATTGCAAACATATTCTTATTAATATCATATTTCATGATTTCAGACATATCACCCAGCTCTACAGTATATCTGCATCATACTTTGCAGCATCGTTACCCTGCGGCTTTGTTTTGCAGCTCGTGCATGCAAGCGTCTCCTTCCCCGCTCCAGCAGCCAGTGAATGAGCCAGACGGTGTCCACGGTGCATACCTGTGCTCGCTGACATGTACTAACTCACTCTTCCTGCAGGCCATGGCAGAGCAATCATAACAATCAGAAGATGAATGTGGCCAAGAGAGAGGAAAAGGGAGGGAGAAAGAGAGTGTAAATGTATGTACTAAAAAAAACATAAGGATGACAAAGACGAAAAAAGATAGACAGAGGGAGGAGAGGGTGAAGAAAAGGGTGAAGAAAGGAGGAAGAGGAGGGGGGGATAAAATAAAAGTCAGGAGATGCCTCAAGACCAAAGCCTGCAGTGCAGTTTGTGAGGGGAGGAGGGAGAGGAAGAGAGAAATCATCAGTGAACACCTGTCTGTTTCTGACTCCTAATAAATCAGCGTCCTCTTTACCTGTCTGCAGGTCTCTGCTGCTGGGAGGAGGTTACATCCTCTGAGGGGGCAGGAGGAGAAGAAAGTGGAGAAGGTAGATGGAATGGATGATAACATTAAAGTTTATCCCTACAGCACAGTACAGAAAAGTATCTCCCAGCTTGCACATCAGCATTTCAGAATCCCACGCTGAAGAGGCATTTGCATTCATCAAACTAGATTTATTTCGCCCTAAAAGGTCTTAAATGCAAAACAGCTCACACACAAAATATGTCCTACAATATGGAGGTACTATTTCACTCTGTACAGTAGCCACTCTCAGAAATCCTCCACACAAACTTCAAGTAGAAAAGACGGACATGCTCAGTAAACATGTACAGTATATGTGCATGTAAATATACATTGCAGACGAGGGTGTAGATATTTGCAGTTGTTCTTCATCATAGTGAAGGCAACGGACAATCTTGATAAACAGCTCACAATCAAAGCCTTTTAAAAATAAACCACAAAAAAGACTGTTCTTCTTACAGTATCAGCTAGTGGCAAAAGATGGGTGCACTTTGACCTCAGGGGGCCATCATAAAGAAAACACAAACAATGTCAACTCAAACTGGAGGGGTAGTCCACTGATTTAACACAGAAACAAAAGTTTACTCAAGTCTGAGAAAATAACCCACATCAGGGTTACCTTGGCTTGGGTTTAAAGACCACAAATGTTTGATAGAAAGCTTGCATTACAGACTGGGAGGTATGAAGGTATTAACCAGGCAGGGAAAGTCTAATCAAGTTAAGTAGGAGGAGTCGTATGGGAACTGTAAATTCCCATTTCAAGTATTTGTTTTAATAATATCTTCAATGCTCCTCGACATAGAAGCACAATAATGTCCTGGACAATGTAAGGATACTGTAGGTTTATGTTATGGCAATCAGTTTGAGTTATTTCAATTTGGCAGATGGCTCTAAATAAAGGCCAAATTTAGCCAAAAGTGACCCAGAGGAAATTCATTTAAGCTCCAGATTGTGTCAGTTTTTTTTTTATTTTTAAAAAATAATCTTCCACTTCTGCTCATTGTTAGCAGCACACATTAAGAATTTTAAGGGTAAGTGACTAAAAGATCCTGATATTTTCTAGCACAGTTAATTTTGTACTGATGATACAAAGAGGAGAGTTTCTATGCAGAAGAACCAGACTTTTCCTCCTGGAAGCCTCTAAAATAACTCCTCCTAGTTTGCAACTCTATGAAAGAAGTTCCATAACAGGAAATATATGATCCAGCTGTATTTGTTTTTAAGTTTGACCCACACTGTACTGCCCCAAACTGTACGGAAGTGCAACACTATATCAGCGGACTGCCCCTTTAAAAAGTAACTTCCCAGCAGTGTTTCGCTGCCCTCTCTGGTTGAAATTTCAACCTCTGACCACACCCAGCCTCACTGATGGGTGTGGTTATGTGTGTTCAGAAGTGTGCTCCATAGGGTTAGGGTTAGGGTGACTGCATCAAGGTGAGAACTTAAACCACTGGAGGTTAGCAACAACAATATTTTCAGGGGGGATTAAGTTACTCTTTAATGTTATTAAAACATTTAATATTAATTTAATACTATTTGGTCACATCAATTTAATACTTTTTGGTCACACTTTCTGGACACCCTGTTAGGTCTGATACACACTTCTGTAGGTGTCAGGTCTCTGTGCAGCTCCTACAGAACCCCAAAACAGTCAACAGTCAACATTAACAATCCATGCTGCACCTTTAGTTAGTCAGTTGAAATGCAGCTGTTTACTGGTATAGATGTGCTTCATTGTGGTAGATATTGTGCCTTTTCCTTTGAATGTTCCATTTACATTTCACTATTAATTCTGATATATATTTATGTACCACTTTTACTTTTCTGCCAAGACAAGAAATAAATAACTGCACTTGGTCCAAAGTAGAAACATCAGACTGGGAAAACAAGGCAACAGAAGTTTTGATTTTAAATTTTTTTTTTTAATTGGTTTTAGAACTTGGTAATGTAATAGAGGAAAAACTGTAAGCAGGCTTAAAGATGCAGCAGGTAAGGTTGTCAAATACCTATGTTGGTGGCGGAATGACTGACCGAATTATATTCTTGCAAATGCTGTTAGGAGCACTGATTTCCACAGATGATCTGTCTCATGTACGACTGTCGGGAATATAGTGATAGTTTCAGCAAATATTACAATTTTTTTTTTTTTAAAGTTACCTACTGCAGCTTTAAAGTAAATTGGAGGCAGTGCATCATCAAACTATTTTAATCACATTTTTCAGGACACTTTTGTTCTATTTCCTTAGGCTCTGCTAAAGTCAAGGCCCAGTTGCTGTAGGGTCAGTACCCACTTTGGATAAGAAAGTCACAGATCCTTTTCAGATCAGGGACACATTTTCGAACATGTCGTTGTCATTGAATAGGTCGTTTACTAATGTAAGTTATAGACCTCAGTGCGTCTGCCTGGAAATGTTGAGGAACTGTGCTTTCCAGATGAAAAGGTGAGTAAAGGTTGGGTGAGTTTAGCCTCTATTAAACACCTGATTATTATATTGTCTGTGCAGCAGTATGCACATAGGTAAAATGAAAACAAAATCCCAGAAAGACAGTTTTCTACTGAAGGGGAAAAGTTCACTCATGTTATCCCAGATGCGAAGGAGTGTCTTTTATTCCTCCAATATTCATCCTGTTCTCCCCTCAAACCACTCATTTTCCACGCTCGACTCCTAACTCATGTTTCAAAAGGACGCGTCGCTTGCTTCAGGGGAGGCAGTGCAGTTGGGTTTGGACACGGAAGGAATGGAAAAGAAGCAGAGAGACAGAGGAGAGAATGAGTTCTGTCAGACTGAATACTAAGAGATAAGGAGAGGGGAAAAAGCTGACACAGACAATCTTTGTTGCAACATGCTACTGAATTACAGCTGGTTGCTACTGTATTATATACTTATGGCAACAAAATGGTTATAAAAGTGACACTGGCAGTAACATGTGTTGTTTTAATTACTAGGAGTTTTAGATGCCCATGTGTTAGTATGGAGCTTGGATGGGGTTAGCCTACTTAGCGTAAAGCCTGGGTGGAGGGAAAACAGCTAGCCTGGCTCAGTCCAGTGTTAAAAAATACACCTAGCATGTCTTTTACATATATTTTGTTGTGTACTTGTTTTTCACATATATGAACTGATCTGGTGAGTATATTTTATTTTGATCAGTTATGCTATAAGTACTGAAATAATAACGTCCTTCTTGAGAATGCCATGTACTTACTTCTTGTTTAGTACTTACCTGCCCTCATTCAGCTACATTCACTACATGAGACACATGACAACAGCATGGGTCAGAGCACAGGGACACACACACACACACACACAGACAAAGATGAAAATATGCTCTATGGGACTGTAAAATGTAGAAGTACAGGCTGTGATCCGTAGGTGGTCTTCATTTTATTAATTATTTATTAAGTTAAGACATCAATAGCAGTGTTGATAGAGGAAATGATCAACTATGCCAACATCAACCCACAAGGTCTATGGATGTAATCAAATTCATCTGACACCGACATATTTGGCTCCGATCCCACACAGATTACCTTTAATGATCATGTTGCGTGCAGTGTAGCGAGTTTATAACAGCTCGTCGAGCCGCAGGTGCTTTGCAAATGGTCTGTGGAGGCGTGTGCATGGGTGGGTGAGCTTTTAAAAACCTTTAAAATCTGGAATTTATTTATGAGAGGCAACATGTAACCTGTGAACCCTGCTGGTACATTGTTTTACAGTGTTCACCTGGGTGGAACTACAGTGACAACAACATCAAACATTTACAATATGACTGATATTTAGAACAGACAACATAATAAAAAAAAATTAAACATAAAGTTCATTTAATAGCTATAAATAGAAACAGGGAGGTCTGGTCCTCCCGAGAAACAAGGACATTGTTTCTGGAGAGATACACTTCTGTTGAGGTTTCTTTGAGCAACACAAAGAATATTCTAATATTTCAGATGCCGATATCTGAAAAACCTAAGCTCATAAACTCAAACTTTAGTGTCTAAAATGCGAAAAACTAGCGCAATTTGGAGTGAACTGCCCTTAAACTGGTCCTTCAAATTACAAAAGATAGAGGAGTTTGCTTCATTATCTCTGACATTTAAAACAAATTTGAGGACCCTACTTACATCTTTCCTAAATATTCAATTACAGGAATGGAAATTTCGGTCGTTATGAATGTAGTGGTGTACCATGTTCTACTGCCCTGGGCCTGAGGTGCCTGGGTGGCGGGGGCGGCCCCTCGGCCTCGACTCACCAAAAGAGCCTCCTGGTTTTCGGCCAGAGCCTGCTTGGCCAGGTAGCGCTCCCTCTTGATCTTCAGCTCCAAGGATTCGGGGACATCGGGTACGATCCAGTCGATAGCTCTCAGCACAAAGAACACCACATGCTGGAGGAGGGAAGACATTTAAGCTTCTCGTCAGATTGAAGAAAACTGCCTCTCCTGTCACAGAATCTGTTGAAGTTTGAGTGGACAACTAGCTGGACATCACATATAAAGATGTGGAAAGCAAAAGAGTCCAGATTTTTTTTCTGGAGTTTTCAGCTACTTCTAGCCTTTTATCTGCAAATTAACTTTGCTCAGTTGAATTATCACCATGACAAAAACTTTTTTTTTTTGCAAGTGAAAATTGAGTAAAGCTTTTTTTTGTCAAACATGTCTAGTTTCATTTCCTTTATCTATTCCACCTCTTTGTATGATATTTCCATATTCCCTGAGAGATTTCATTAATTTCAAACACTCACTGTCTGAAATAGACCTTGAAAATTATTAAAGCTAATCATACAAACCCTATAATGTCCTTTAAATATTACTCCTATTTGTTTCCTTAGTGATTGCTCTTTACTTTAATCTGACACATTTGATCAGAGATCACAACAAAATTGCGAAGTAATCACAAAAAGTTAGCATTTCTCTATATTGTTCTTAGTCAACAAATCCCATGAAAAGACCAAAAAACTGATCCTAATAACAAGTTTTGTCTCTGTATCCAGAGCCCGATATATCTTTTTCCTCTGTGCTATAGAGCTCCAATGTTGTCCACAAACTATTAAAAACACATCAATCAGTTGCACTGCATGACAGTTGACATGAGACTTGCTCAGTACGATTACCACCACTGTCAATCCTACACACACACACACACACACACATAAATATCTGCTAGAGCACCAAATGTGTCCCTGAAGATAATGCATAAAAACTACAGTGACCAGCTGTTTTAAAGAATTCAACTATATTTGTGACCTGTTTTCAAAGAATTGTGTGTTTGTTAGGAGGAATGGGCTTAGGGGGTTTAAAAATACAGTTATTTGTTGTTTTCTAAGATTTGTTGGCAGAAAAGAAAATACAGTGTACACTTCCCTTGACTGTGATTGTGTGGAGAGATTTATGACCTAAGGTTCACTCTACTGTTGCACTCTGAATGTCAGAAAGTAAAAAATGTGGAGCTGAAGGAGGGCTTGTTGAACACATGTGGTGGTGGATAAATGGAGGGAGAAGTGGCAGAAAAGGATGCAACTGAATAAATATAAACTTTGAAAGAGAGATGGTTATTGGGGTAAATGGAGAGGTAAAGGGATGGTGGAGAAGAAAGCAAAGAAAGAAGAAGTGAGGAAATAACATACAACATGAAGTGCTAATATGGGCAAGCACATGATGGAAAAACTAAAACATACACTAAGAGAGGGCTAATGAGCAGCAGCTCAGGTATGCATCTGGCAACAGAGGCACAGAGAGATGTGGGTAAAAGATAGAAATGAATCAAATGTGGGCACCAAGTTAGCAAACAGAGACGAAGCAGCTCCACTCATACCTCGAAGGCAATGATAAAACCGAGTCTGATGGCAAGAAGCTCCCAGTAGAACAGTGAGTAGTTTCCATTGTTGTCTCTGTATGCTTTATATCTAAAATAAATAAAAAGATAAAACACAGAGTTACTGCAGAACATACTGTGGCAGTGGGACATGAGAACAAACTGAAACAAGGGATTAAACATTAGTAATACTACCCTCGATCAAATCTGTGATCCTAAATTAAAACTGAAACCATTTTGAGGACGGATTTTGCCCAAATTACATAAAATGAAACACATTTGAACCTGAGTGTTTTTTCCTACTTTTAGATGACATGCATTCTGACAATCAGCATAGAGCGTACCTGCACATGGGGTACTCAGTGTAGTTAAGTGGGGCGTAAGCCAAGGTGGAGTTGATGTATCCATTGAGATCATTATCGAACTTGTATTGGTAGAGCAGGCGAGGTAAAAAATCTGATGTGAAGGCTATTAGGAAAGCCTGCAGGAGGCAAGAGAAGAACGACAAAAGATCATGTTGCAGAAAAGAGATTAGTCTTCAGTCTGAAGTGAAATATGTGTTCAAACCACTCACGTTGGCGATGACCGACAGGTGCGACAGGGCCTCAAGTATGTTAAACCAGACTCCGATGTTCTGAGCGCGCTCGGCAACCGGCCGGCGGTACTCGCACGCAAACTTGTGGGCGTCCAGACGGATTTCTACCCAGTTGTTGAGGAGAGCGAAGAGCGGAGCGAGGGGGAACGCTGCCACGAAGATGGTGATGAACCCAAACTGGAGCACTGCAGCACAATGAGTCATTTTCAATTTGTGCAATAAACACGGCAAACAATTTAAACTTCTTACATTATTCTTTTTTTAAAACATATATTCATCATAGTGTATGTGACTGTATGCAGCGATATGTCCTTTAGATACAGTAGAGGATACTTGCCCATCTCTAAGTACTCTTCGAACAGGCCTTCACACTCCACTAGCTGGTAGTCTTCTTCCCAGCGCTGAGGCTCATGGGATGCCTTACCCCCCAGCACCTTGGCCATGGTCCTCTTCTGGCGCCAGGCCTTCACTTTACTGTCAGAGCAGAGAGACAGAGACTTAAAAATGTGAAATAAACATGGCAATAATTCTGAAAATAGTGTTAGTATGGAACTTTCATCCTCATCTACAAAACAGAAATTCTGATGTTTTATCTGATTCTAGTTTAATATGTAATTCTTGTTTACATAGTTTTCATAACTTTGTGTCTTTACTCTTAGTTCAAACTTTAATTCATAGGTATTATGTTACATGGATAACTGAGTTAGCTCAATTTCAGTGTTGAGGATTTGCCACGAGCACAGATTTTTCATTTCTACCAAGCTGGATTCATTTGGGGCTGAGTAAAAAGTCCCTTAGGCTCAAACCTTGAAAAGCAGTTGCAGATGGTTCTATTGCAGCTGCAATTGGTATCTTACAGCCGTTGCTCATTCTTGCTCTGCTGTAACACATATCTGCCTCCAAACTCTCATGTGCATGTCATACAAATCAGTAGGCGTACCATATGTCCACTTGATCAATCACACAAAGAACACACACGCAATCTTCTATTTATATTAAGACAATGCCACAAGCTTCTGCCTCCACCAGCTCCGATCCATAAATGAGGGAAACCTCCATGTTGACTCTAACTCAGAGCTGTAACAGTGGGTCAAAGCAGGTGCCTTCCAGCCACTGTTAAGGGTATGACACAGATCAGGTGCTGGACAAAAAAGACAACTAGGGCAGGTGTGCAATTCCAAAATGGAGGGTACCGCCACCCGAAGGACACCCTGCCACTGTCAGAGTGTCAATCAATAGCATCAATAGGATAAACCTGGCTGCTGACTCACACACTCAGCTACAATGAATCACTTATTTCAACCTAACAGAAGCTACACATGAGACCTCACTATGTTTATGTAAAATAAATCCTGTCCCACAACAAAATGTCCCTTGCCTAACAACCTTGCATGTAGATCAAAAATGAAGTTGAAAGCATTTTCACATGCAGTTGCCATTCTGCTGTCAGTTTCTAATGATTTGTTGGGTTCCATTTCATAAGTGAGCACCTTTGCCACTGACCCTCATAGGTCACTTCTAGGAAGACCCCTTCAAACTGAGGTAACTCTGAAATGAAGGGAACGCTGCATTACAGTGCCACCTGTGGTCAGAAACTCCAAAGCCCTCTGCAACCCTGACTCTGCCCTGTTGTCTGGGCAGCTGTATGTCTGGAGACACACACACACACACACACACACAATGTGCCAGTGCTGCAGAGGTACAGCAATAAGCTTTACCGCACCAAACAAACAGAGCTGCAATTAGGATGCATGAGTCCAATGCAACACTTAAAAAAATAATGACTATCATGCAGGGAAAAAAAGTACTTAGGGGGGGTTATATGCAGTCTTCAGACTATAAATATCACATGCCGATTCTAATTTATTCTGCTCTATCTAATTCTGACAGTTTCTGAATCTGGTTTTTGAAAGCTATTTATGTAATCATGTTGATGATAGCCTGATTATTTTTGCAATTTAAATGTACTAAATGGGACTCGTGTCTGGTGGGGAAACCCTCCTCTCAAAGTGGCTCATAAGCTCCATGAGGTAGGTTTGAAAAAAGTCTGATCCCCTTGAAGCTTTTAAATATAAGTAGGAAAACTTGATCATGTTGGAGAGAGAACAAGAAGGAGAACAACAAGAAGTTATATAACAGATGTCTGATTCTCAGAAAACTCATATCAGTCTTGAAACATACGGGATAATGAACTCCTGAATGTTGTTGATGAGTTGCTTTCCCACCATGATGATGAAGAGTTGCTCAGCCAGCTCAATGAGACAGCCCCCGGGGCCACACTGCAATAGAGTGTGAAGACACACAGAAACACACAGTGGAGCATGTTTGGATAAAAACACAATACATAATAGAAGGGATTTGAAATATTTTCTCCCTTTGACACTTATTGGTAAATTATAGACTCACGTCTTCATTTCTCATCCCAAACAAGGTCCCATAGTTGGTGGGGTAACCCACAAACCTGCCCACACAGAGAATGAAGACACAGTTAAAATGTTATTTGTGACAAAATGTTCTTAATATCTCAACTGTTTCTGTGTGACTCATGTCTCACCTTCCTTTAAAGAAAGCCACATAGAAGGGGGACGAGTAGAAGTTGACAAACTGGAAGATGAACACCTTGAAGATGAATGCATTGTCATACTGGGTTTGTGTTCTGTGCATCTCTGCAACAGAGAAACACAGACACACAGTGTTAGAGACAGTAAACCCGAATTTCACTGTTCGCCTTTGTTTTCTCTTTCACACAAGTTTGGCCCACAGGGAGTTTCCTAAAACCTGATCTGATCTTCTGACTGCACATGTTGCCATGTTCAGAGATCTCAGCAATAACTTAATATATAATAATATATTTGTATCATTACTGATTGAAACAATGGCCAACACTATGTAAAAATAATAAACAAGAATTACCTTTAAAGTAGCAAATGGAGTGAACAACTCTGAACACTGTGAACTGTTTCAGACACTCACTGATTGTCCTAAAATATGATACACACGTCCATGTTACTCACAGGATGAATTGTAATAACTTTGGTAATCCTCTGAACTTTCATCTAGTGCCATTATCAAGTCAAAATTTCATTTTTAAAATTACTTATATACTATTATACTAAAACTAATGACATTTCCATCAGGTTTTGTCTTGTTTTTAGTGCTAACTTGCATGTCAGGATATGTGTTAAAATGCTGGTAAACACTGAGCATATTAACATGACAACATCATTTTCTTGTTGACTCTTGTTGTGTTAAGCTGTAAGCTATCTACCTAAAGTCTAGCTAAAGTAATAGAACCTGGTAAAACATAAATTGAAGTAATGCAGGAAGTTACGTAATGCATGTTATACATTGATTGAAAGATGTCAAAAACACAACAAGAGTGTGTGTGTTGCAGTGATACATGCACTCTCCTACTCTGAAATGTTTTTTTGTTGCCCACACTGAAAGACTATTTTTATCGAAGATGCTGGGATCAAATTCAAGACTTTGTCTGCTCTATGAGGAGTCTCGGCTTTTAGTTAGTGAAACTCCAGTGAGAGGCTGATATCAATATACAGTATTGAGGTTTGACATGTTTGAGAGCAGTATTGATTCTTACCCCATTTAGTGAGCTGCTCAGCTAATGCAGTGTAGACACGGCCCATCAACAGGATAAGGCCCAGGTTCACAATACTGCTGGAGATGTTGGCTATGGTCCCTGCCTGAGGACTCACACACACGTAAGTATGAATGTAAAACAAGCACACACAGATTACAAGAACAAAATACTCAAAATAGAACTAATTAAATCCATGCCCAATATAGCTGTGATATACCTCTGTACGCAGGACAGGGCTACCAGTGTGAAACATCATCACACTGATGATACCGCGGCACATGACCACTGTCACCAGGAAGATCATCACCACGCACAGCTGAGAGGGAAGACAGAGGGATATTGGGTCAAAAACATTACAGTTGGGGATTTTTTCTTTGAAACTTTGGAACTACAATATCTCAGTAAAGTATTTCTTCATGAGGTTTCAAAGGTGCACTCCATTTATGCAGGTTTCCACACCCTCACAACTACATCTGATATGGCGCACCATCACGGCCAAATGGAGTGCAGCCATTATTATCTACACCACTCCGCAGAGTTGACTGTTTTTTGACAGTAAAAACAAAAACTACTTGACTGCGTAGGCTTCAATCTCAGTGTCTCTTCTTGGTCTGTTTTCCTGATAGCGGTAAGTGATAATTGATACTATTCTGTGCAGTTTGCCTTTACAGACTGTGTGTTGGTGCCATGGTAGCATTTTCAATATTTCACCTCCATCAGTATTGTCAGGAGAAGGGTGGGGGAAAACTGATCTTCAGATCCCTGTTCAAGAGCAAGTTAATCCTGAGACTGTGTGTACAGTGAGTGTACAGTGTATAGCCAAAATCATCAGATCATATCTAGCCCTGTGGGCATATGACCTGGATTCATTTTAAAAAAAGGGTTCAGTTACCACTGCAGGATTGAGTGGAATAGTACACAGGTGTAAACCCCACCTCTCTTTCTCTCCAGGATCACCAAAGTAAAACCTCAAAAGACACAAAGACTCTTCACTGAAACCAAGTATAATGAGGATGACTGTAAGAATAAGAAGAGTTTGTAGAAACTTGCATGGGATCTAATTAGGTTGTTGCATTAGAATCAAATCATGATGCTTTCTAAAGATATCAAGTAAATTAAGTAATCACAATTATCAAACTAACTGATTTGTATTGATTTGTCACATCACATACTTTAAATGTACTGTAAATTACATTTACAGTAATTCTTAATTCACAGCACAACACCAGTCTTTAAAACACTTCTCACCATCATGATGATGACCATGGAGCCAGTGAACATGCGGGACAACCTGGTCTTCTCCGGAAAGTAGGGCTCTTTGACCCCAGTCACTGGGTTTGGTTCCATAGTCGGGGCCATGGCTGCAAACTCTGGCCGAGGACGCTCCTGATGGAACAAAGTTATGATATCAGCATCAATGCACACACTCTGGTTTGCTGAGAACGGACCTGTGCAGATTTGATCTAGTGACCACAGGTCTACGATCCAGTGGGTGGAGAGTAGGTTCCCCAGAGGGGAGGTTCATGACTTTCTTTATATACCAGCAAAAATGTTTTACAAGTTTGTTTACTCCTGTTTGCTTATGATGAGAGGGTAACAAATGGTAAAAAGGATAAACATTAGAAACATTTGTTAGCTAATGTGCTGTTAGCGATTAGCTTATATAAAGTTTGGCATTGTGTTAACGTTATATAAAGATAAACATACCTAAAAACTGTAAAGTGTACAGGACCAGAATGGTTATACTCAAACTGAAAGAGCAAGAAAGGAAGGTGAAACCTCTTCTTCATGGAAATCCATGCAGTCCCAGTGATGGGCCAGGGTGGCCATCTTTCTCTTCCAGTACTCCAGGAAGGTTACAGCCCAGAAGGACATGAACACACTGAAGAGGACCGTACCTGGGTGGTCAAATAAGTAGCCCAACTGCAATGCAATAGGGTACAGTACACACTTTTAGAAACAAATGCCAACTTTTAGTCTGTTTGCGTTATGATTATGACGTGGGTTGTTTACCAGTGAAATGATCTGACAGATTGTTACCTTGGCCATGGTGCAGATCTCAGACATGTTCCAGGCCTTGCATGTGTTACAGAGAGGACACATGAGATAACTAGCTCCGCTGTTACAGATTTCCTTACTGTTGACAGACACACAGACACAGATTAGTTGCAACTGAGAAAGCATGTTTCAAAGCTTTCAAACCAGGACCGCTTTTCAGATTTTGTTGTACCAGGTGGCTGAGCAGATTTGACAGAAACAGATATTTGGCCTTTTAATCACATATTGTACATGATAGTTATTAAGAGTAAAGGGACTGTGTGAATTAACTGTAATGGATGTTTGCATGCTCACAGACCCAGAGTATATTGATTGAGTGAGAAAATAGAACAGATTAAAGGTGTTGAAATCAGTCTCCCAGCTTGCCGTCAGGGAGTAGCTACAGCACTTTTACTTACCAGAGTTATTCAATGAGTTACTAAAACAATGACACACACATGGGATCTACTGCACAAATGAAGTCTGGACTCACTGAGACATGTCTATCTTCCTTATTGGTTCCTGCCTCAGGCTGCTCTCCATCCGTTCTCCACTAATCAATGGCCTTAATCTACAGTGTGAAGTAATGAACCTCATGAATCTGATACATTTGGTTGTTTCCTTTTCTGAGACATTGACTAATCTTGCATTCTCTCTAACCTCCCTTCTTATTTTATAGCAAGATGAATTTTCTGTCACTGAAACTAACAGGATGCAGTAGAAACAGAACGGTAAACAGACAATATTAGGGTGCAAACACTTTAAGGTACACTTACTTTGAATAAAAAGTGATTCCACAGTACTGTGTAGGTAGAACAGAGCCCACAGTGTTGATAAATTATGTATGATAAACTGGGCACAGACATACCCCATGTGGATTGTTTAAATGCAGAGTTTGTTTTTTATGCAGAATAGACTGCTTTGATGCTTTGCTATATTTGTATCTCAAAGTGTGCTTGCTTAGCATAATTTGGGAGGAAGTGTGTACATAGAGTTTGAATTTCTGGGAAATTCCTGTATTTCATAAAGGAGCAAAGATGAATGGGTCAATACTAATCTTGTGTGTGCGTTTAGTACAGAGCTGGACTATGGCTATGCTGACGGATGCCAGATATGGTCAGTAAGCACATGTTTAAGTATAGGTCTCTGGTATGATGGTATGAAAACTGGCAACCTCACTGTGGCGACAGGACTTCAGGAAGTCATGGTGTCCAGTTGTTGTTCAGCAAGAATAATTCCATCATTTAAATTACTTTTTTTTTACATCCCACAAGTGACAACTAAAGGATGACACATTAATGGCAGATTGAATTTTCCCAGGATTCTCTTTAAAGACGAGTGGAACGAGATCACAAACACCTGGTGAGATACAACCACTGAAATGTTCATCTGTGGTGTGATAAAACAAGCCTCACCAGACCAGGTAAGGCTATGGCAGCAGAACCTCTGACTATATTGAATCAGGCCAGGGTCAGTAAAAATAATAATATAAAAATGTAATTTTCAAAATGCACATAGTCTCGCTTTAATGTTTATTCCGAAGCATCAGAATGCTCATTCAATTAGACAGAATCATCACAGTACTGATTCAATAGTGTAGCATTCATTACATAATTACACTAAAACTGGGGGAGTTAATCCTTCTCATTTAGTTTGGGCTAAATGATGCACTTGAGACAGTACCTCACAATTAGTGCATCACTGGTCATGGGTTCTGTATGTGTGCAGCACACCTTGCAGTTTTGAGTTTAATTGCTCTTGTATAGTTTCTATTTTTATTTCTATTCTATTTGAATTATTAAATATTTTTTTTATCTGTACTTATTTTTGTAACACCTGAGTTCCCCTCTGGGGATCAATAAAGTCTTATCTTATCTTACACATGTATCTACTGTGTAGTGTATGTACTCACGCTGGTGTGTTGGTACCCATGGACATGACTCCAGACACAAAGACCAGGGTTCCGACCACTGCAGCCGGCAGCAGCCAGGCTGTGTAGAAACCTGCAGAGAGATAAAGCTCCATTAGGGCTGTAGCTCTTGGCTGATGCAGTGGGGAATGTGCAATTACACTGCTGCACTGGTGTTTAATGCTGGAATGTCCTGGCGAAGACCTGTGTCTCATGCTGAAGATGATGTTTTATTGTCTCAAGATTTTCCTTTCATTTTCTCAAGTTTGCAGGTGTGTAGGCCACACTTTTCTCTTTGTTCAGACATAATAGATTTTATTTCCCATGCTAATTACCCACTTCTGCTGAAATGTGAAACATGCACTATGGAGGATTTTTTACCAGATAAATAAAGCAGACTATAGCCTGGACTACTGTGTTATACAATATGTCACATACATATAATATAATATAGACTATGAGATGCAGTTAAAAGCTCACGAAAACAGCTAGTACATGGACCTTGGATTATGTCTGTTGTTCAAAAATCTTATATCCACATGAGAAAGTAGAGGGTTGAATATGTTTGACAGGAACAATAAAAGGAATTTATATTTACCCAGCCAGGCAAAGTAGAATGCAATCTTCTCTCCAAAGTACTCCCTGATGTGGTCCAGTGGTTGGTACTTGTACCATTTGCACCAGCGGGCCCAGTAGTGGTAAAGAATCTGCCTCTGGTTCAGCTCGTCAGGACGAATCTCATTCCTCGGAAGCTGAAAAGGGCCCTGTGAATAAAAAACACATATGATAGTTAGAGAGGGAAAACGGCACACATTTTACATCAGATTAAAGAGCGGATAAATAATATCTGACCTCGTGCAGGGGAAAAGCGGCTGTGTACACGCCTTCATTTACCAGTCTGTCCACACCAACCTCAGCCCTCTTCCTTTTGCCATACACTGTCCGTGCAAGAATCTCATACACCTGAAATAATACACAAACTCTCACTCTATGAGAGAATAATTTCACGGAGTACAAGTACAGTAGAGAAATTCCTGTTACTCACAATACGGTGTCTTTGTGTATTAGTGAAGTAGGTTTCATGGTTGTCACAGCCAAGGAACCTGTAGAAGAGATTCATTCATCCAAATGTATTTTTTATATACTGTGACACAATGTTAACAGATCCTATTATTTACCATGGTAAACTCACCTGTTCATCTTTGACTTTCGAAAGGCACATGTGTAATAGTCCAGCGGCCTGTTTGGCACTGACTCCATCATCACGTTAGGAATGCATAGTCTTTTCAGTACCTGAGCAGATGTGTTTAAGTCCAGATTTGGCTGTGCCTGGAAGTCAAACACACATTCATTCAATAAGAACATGGTTTATCATACTTGTTCTTTTAAAGTTACAACCCTTAGAATTTGGAACAATTTGGTGACACCTGTGGTTACTGGCAGTTAGCGGTAAGTGCATTTTTGTGATAGAAGTCCCAGTGTTTGAAATCAAACACAAACACACCTTCAGCAGCTACTCTGTCAGTAATGCAACAGAAGAAAATAAATTTGTATCTGTATAAACAGCCAAACAAACCTATCTATCTATCTATCTAGTCTATTATCTACTCTAAATCTATCTATCTATCTAGTCCTACAAGTCCTAATCTATCTATCCTTCTATCTACGTCTAGTTCTTATCTAGATCCTATTAACTTCTATCCTAAATCTATCTAATTATAAACAGCAGCACTAACCTGCAATGGAGCTCTCACACAGAGTTCCTCAGCGTAAAACACCAACACATCCCAAGGAGCGCTAAGTTTCAGAAAATGTATTGTTTTCTTCTCATTTGCTGTTTGCTCCTGAAAGGGAAGAGTGGCAACATAGAGAAGTTGTTAATCAAGTAGCATTGAGTAGATTTGAACTTTTCAATAAGATGAATACTTTTGAATCTAATCTACGGCACCTCTTCCATGAGCAACCCAGCACTCTCCAGATTCTGAACAAACTTCTCCCTCCACTGTGCCAGCTGTGCCTTCCTTCGCTCAGACCTGCTGTTCTCCTCAGTGGGCGCAGTCTCCCCCTCCTCACTGGTCACCTTCCCCTTCCCTCGCCGCTTCCTCCTCGACCGAATTTCCCACACCAGTACAAAGTCTAAACCATAAAGATCCCAAAGGTTAAATGAAGGACTGACTCGGCCATCCATCAGTGAGCTTGGGACAACTAACACAATACAAGCTGCAGATGCTGCCTACCGATTTTGGTCCTTCCATCTCTGAAGTAATTCCCCTCCTGTGGAAGTGGCTGGTTACTTCTTGGATTACAGTGGACATAAATGGGATCATCGCCGTCCACATCTTCGCCAGCAGCTGCGGCTGAAAGCTAAAAGCATCCCAACAAGTTTAGTAATTATCCAAATCTGTTAGTTAATTAAAAACAAGTGAGAACTGATGGCAAAACAGATTCTCTACTCACTCTCCTGCATGTTAGCCCTTTGTTCTGTATATGGACAGTTAATTTCCTTTTGAGGAGGTTTGACCATAAAATCCTGTGCCATTACACTGCATCATAAAAGCCTCCACTTTGCAATAATGAGTCCAGAAAGATGAGACAGAAAATGATCACTGAGCTTTTTACAGCATGATTGAGAATAATCTTTCAGTGCGGTAAAGTCGTGTTTCACCACAAGGCTTGTTTGATTTTCCCAGTGATATACAGTACCTCGCACCGTACTGTACTCAGATTCACTGCAACATCCCAGAGGAGTCAGTGATGTGTGAAGGGATGGGAGCAGCAAGGTTATGGGCTGCTGTGTGAATGTGCAGTTATTTTCCATATCTATGTGACTCCTGTAATAAAGGAAAACACACTGCAGCAAAAAAGTAAAATAGTCCTCACATATCTCGGCGGAATGAAGCTCCCGTTCTGCAGACTTCCATAGCTGTGTGTGGTTTGTGCTACACCCCCATAGTCAAGATCCAGGAGGACCTCTCTGTCTCCCTTCAGCAGCTCCGAGCCCTTCCTCAGCATGATGAGGAGGATGACAAAAGGGTCTTGTGGCTGGACACAGATATACTGAGCATTCACATGAAACTGTACAGCAAAAGAAATCTGTGCTCACTACTGAAGTCATTCACAGAACTACAGACATGCTTTAAAGAAAGACACTGGAAAGAGAAAACAATGGTTGATACTGTACCTTCGCTGTGGTGGTAATTAGGCTGCTGCTAAAGTCTGGATCTGCAGCAGTCTGTGCTTCTCTTGTCCTCTCCCTCTCCTCTATCTCTGCATCCGTCAAGCTCCTCTGCTCCACCGCTAGATAGCTGTGGAACTACCGTAATGGACCTAGAATGCAGGCAGCAGCTGGTGCTTTGCTGCATTTCAGCAGAAGAAATGTACATCAAGACATACAGCACACATTGCCACTTCATAAATAATGTAATAGACAGTCAGGGGCAGAGAGAGGGGGAATAAAGCGAGCTTTCTCTCTGTCTCACACTCATTATGCAGGATATAACGTGTGTGTGGGGGGATCTCTCCTTTGATGTTAATGGGTATTCCCTTATCTATACAAGGAGTTTTGCACATGTAATTTAATTGTTTTTGAAATGTACACAGAATTAACATAAATTATTAAAAGCACTAAAAGAGATGCTCCACCCCTCTAAGATTTATTTTCTGTAAGTCATGTGACTTAAGATCTATTTTTGTGAAGTAGTAGTTTCTTAATTTAGATAACATGGTACACCAGGAAAGCTAACGGACAGTGAGGTATTAAATGAGAGAAAGCATCGTTATTAACCTGGATAATGACACTGCAAAACAGTATTGCGTTCACCAACTAACTAACTAACCAACTGTACAACTGCACATAAATGCATCACTTCAGAAGAATCTATAGTTTCAGCTGAGATTCAAACTTAGACTTTAGAAAGGTTGAAATAATGAATACAGGAATATGAAAAAAAAAAACTGGCTGAGCACTTTAAACGCTAAAATATTAACAACAGGATAAATGTCACATAAAATATATGAAATATTAAATGTGCTCATAAAATGTCATCATTAGGGTTATATAGAGTGGAATATCTGTGTTACAACTGGGGGTGCATAGTTAGAAAGATGAGGGTAGGGAGGGTCTAATGAATAATGCATTGAGTTGCATTGTGGGAAGGGTAGGATCCAGTGTTTTTGGAGGTTGACCCAACCAAAGGACTACAAATAAGGACATTTTGGCATCTGTTGCTTTGATTTTGACAATTGACTTGACTAGCCCTTTAATATGTACTTTAGAGGTGCCAAAGTATTCCATTTATTCTATTACAGTGTCAAATCCAGCACTGCCCTGAGCTCTTGGATTACTTTTATTTTGGAGGGTGGCTGCTCCATAAACACAATATGACTTTGCAGTGATCCGACAGGGACTGATTTTCCGTAATTATCACTTACAAAGCAGCACCAGTCCAATGCTCTTCCTTTTTTCCTGCTGAAGATTTTAAGAGCTATGTAATCAGTATGCTGTTAACACCGTGGACTGAATACCACTTGTGGTTAAAGTGTCTTTTCTCCTGACGTTCCTCCTGCTTTAGAGCCACAGCTGATACTGTCTTCATTTAATTTCCTTCAACTCTGTTTCCTTCACGCCTCCCAAAGGGACTCAACCCACACTACTGGACTTCTCATCCATCTTATTGATCTGACAAGTGTTTCTCTTCCTTGACTTTTCTACTTTGCTGAGTCACTCTGTGATAACACTTTCAATTGATGATGACTCTACATGCTGTTTCTACTTAGAATTGGCCTTGCACCCTCAGCATAGTTTTCTGTAAGTACTGCATCATTAATAGAGCTGAAACAGTGTGCTGACTGATCGTTTCAGTGCTTGTTAACTTTCTTTTCTGGTCTCATCTTCGGGTCTTCATAAACCTCAACCTGTATCTTTAACAGTCTGATTATAACTACTGCTCTATTGTCCTCTTTGTCAATTGCCATTCATGCAGGGGATCAATGTAACTTTTCCTCCCTTTCTCTCTAAAGCTTTTGAAATTCTCTGTCGACCATCAGCCATTATTGACACTCTCCTTGAAATAAGGAGTCAAAAAACACTTTCCTATAATCCTCTTTATCCGGTCCGGTATTGTTGTTTGCAGAGAAAACAATACGGGCCTGGACAAGACTTATGAGCTCGTTGAAACCATGGTAACAGCACAAGTACACCCAAGGTGACATTATCGTGCTGCTAAAATAATAAAAATGATCTGAACAAGAGCAGTGCTGACGTGTTGCCCTAGCAACTACAAAAAGATAATCAATACCCCTAGAGGCTGTGAACATTAACTGCTTTGTGCTGTGTTGTCTTGTCTTCTTTTCACTATGAACTCATTACAGCTGGTACCAAACACCTTCTGTTGTAATGGGCATAAAGTTAGTAGATCTGTATTTCCAGCATTTTTTAATCTAATTGATGTGTTTCCATACTTTAAAGCCCCCCCAACTCAAAAATGTGTTTTTCTTCTTGTTCCTACAGTTGGACGTTTGAGCTTCACTGTGCCACATTCATCATCATTCATCTGCTGAAAGAAAGTTTCTAAATCTGATTTTAAGGGGTGGGCCTTAGAGCATGATCTGTGACATTACAATAGTCATAACATAACATCATAAGTTGCACACTGGACCATTAATACATGTCTGGAGGGGATCTTTAAAGGTGCCCCAAATTCAAAACTATATGATCCCAAAGACAACAGCTGGGGAGACATTGTTGATTTTGCTTCACCACAATTAAGAAAAGACCATAAAATGGTTTGAGTTTAAAGGAAAGTGTCAAAATACTTAAGCAAGACTTGAATATGGACTTGAAATTTGAGTATTATAAATACATAAGAGTCTGGTTCTGAAAAAGCAGAGTATTCAGCAGCTGTCCCTTTGATAAATTAACTACCTGGTCAAAAGTATGTGGACACTTGATACTTACATTCATGTGGTTGTTGAACATCTCATTCAAGAAGTGTGCACATTAACATGCTACCATGGTCGTCCTAGGAAGACTTCCCACAAAACCATTTCTTCATACACTTGACTGCACACTGAGGTTATAGTTTATTGAAACAGAAAGGGCTTTTCCAAACTGCTGCCACAAAGTTGGAAGCAATGTGATCGTATGCTGCAGCATAAAGATTTCCCTAAATTGGCACTAAAGAGCCTTATTTCAACCATGTAATTGTAAAAGTACCTTTAGTCATGTACAATGTCTCTACAAATGGTTCAATTTATAATCACCTACAAGATATATACATTACCATATAGAAATACCTCTTTCTTGTTATAAACAGGTTTAAAGAGGAACTCCATGTATGACCTCTACTGGTGACTGGGAGGAACTGCAACATCTCAACCAGTCTGACAGAACACAGCAAACAGGGGGACGACGCTTATCCGAGAGTGTCATTCGTGTTTTTTGTTTGGAAACAGGGCTTTCTAGTCTTTATAGATTCATTGTCTTCCAGCAGTATTGGTTTGAAATGTCAGTGAGGGGAGTTTCAATTTCAAAAGAGTGATACAGGCTGGAAAGTGAGCTTTAAAAGAGATTAGAGAATCATGGGTACTAAACAACTGATTAACTCTCACAGACCTATTACAGTCAGTATGTTGTCTTTTGTGTGCTGGTTTTGTGCTGACAAGTATCCTTTGACATACCATGCACTGGGGATTTTAGCAAAAAAGTACAGAAACAATGAAGACCGCATTTTTTGTTCAGCTATGCAACAGCAGACAGTTAACTCCCAACTACTCTCTTACCTGTGGATCCTCTGTCCCTGCTCTAACATGACTGCGCTCATGTGTTCAACATGCAGCAACACACTGACCTGCTACAGAAATGTAAATGTCAAAAGCAGAGATACATGTAGCACACACATCATCAAGTCAAGGTTTTCATTTCAGTTTATTCAGTTACACTGTCCAATCACAAAGATTTATTTGTACATTCATCACCATTATGAACAGTATAAAACCTTCTGGACATGCACGTCTTTATGTGTGAGTGTACAGTCTGTTATACTTGATTAGTGCTCTATTTACAATTCAATAAAACTGCTAAACATAATACAAATATTACATGCAGTATACATTTATGAACAAAACCAAACAGCGCTTTTTCACAATGCATCACTTACAAGGTGTCACCCATCATTGGCCAGCAATGTCTCACATTCAAAAGACTGCACATACACTTCATAGGCCACAACTTTAAGCAGGTCATTTTTTTATTGATAATCCAACATTTCAAGTAAGTCCAACTATTGCAACTGAACTCTCCCTGGTCAAAAAGTCCTTCAGTAATCCAGAGAGGCTACACAGCCAACCAATCCTTTTTTAGAACCACTTGAATTATTAAAAGGACTTTTACATAAAAACCTTCTCCAAATTGAATATTACTTTATAGCCTTCTCTGTGTGCGCAAAAAGAACTTCATAATGCTGCATGGAACATTGGGAAGAACCAAAATAGAAAAAGGGATTTCAAAAATACTGAATTAGACAAAACAGCAGCTCTTAAAAAACAACAACAAACATGGTGAGTCTTAAGGTTTTGGATGTGACATACCTTTTTTCACCTGAGATTAGATTTCTTTGTAAAAAAGCAGAAATGAGGGCGACCAAGTGGCACTTAGAGAGGCATAAAGCACTGATTAATGCTGACATGAAACACACAGAGTTTGGTACAAACATACATAAGTGAAATATGTACAGGGCTGGGTATCATTTGAAGGTTTTCGATACAGGTGCCTATTCAATACCCAAGTTTTTGTAAAAATACCAAAATGGTATTTTTTTTCAATACCTTAACTTTGTTACAAAACTGATTTTTAACAGCAATATCTGCCCAGAGAATAACGAAATGACAATGAGCAAGCATTCTGTGCCAACATTCAATAAGGACGCAATTATGTCTGTAATCGGAGCGGATTGAGGTTTGACACCCAGCCCTACACACAGCACTTACCGGTATTTTGACTTGTCTGTCAAAAGAAACTAGAACATGAACTAAAATGATTGTTTTAGTTCAGCCAAATTGTGCAGTGTAAGGCAACTACAAAAAGGAAAAAAATAGTGCTTGATTTACTTAAAAAGAATTGGCCTTTTGTCCGGTTCAGTCGATGTTGTCAAAAAGGCGACATTGTCATTGCAAAACAAACCTCACACTTATCTCAGCCTCGCAATGAGAGCAGGTACACTCTGCCACGAACAGAGCAGCGATACACTCATCAGTGTTAATGTTAAGGGCAGATTGTAACACATGCATAATTTGTGGGGAAACTAAGAGTCTGGCTTGGGGTCTAATTCTTATTCTTTCCCAAGTAAAGCTTTAATAATGGATGATATTACAGGCTATTTGAAAGCACTAATCTGCTAAGAACAGATACTACACTTGCTCTAAGTGAAAGGCTATTTAAGGATTTGATATCTTTCAAACATGGTCCTATACCACTAAATGATGACAAGTGCAGAAGGGGATGTTATAATTTAGTGTGGGATTGGCCAGATCTTACTGGACAGTACAGTATGATGCCACCAACCACTGGTGCAAAATAAAAAGGACAAGCCAAGATAACTTGTAGCCGCTAGTTAGTAGAGGACTCTTTTTAGTTATACTTACCCACACTAAAGGGGAAGGACAAGTCTGCTAATGTAGACACAAAAGTCAATACCATTAAAATGTCACCACTCAATTGAATAATTTAGTAACAATTGTTCCCACTTTCTCTAAAATGGAAATAACATAGCACATGTTATGATATTAGCACAAAACCACAACTGGTACCATTAAAAAAAAAGACTAACAATGTGCAAGTCTGCATGGAAGCCTCCACCCGTCTCTACAGAGTGGAGAAAAAGGCAAGTCTGTTGCATTTCCTGATGTTTTTTTTTTTATCTGCGTGACAACATTTGAATTGGTAAAGTCTCAGATAGACGACACAGGCATGAGCATGTCATGTAACAGTGCAAGTGTTAAATATCCAGATATCCTTCATATTGAGATCCTCATTCTCTTAAGTTAATGTACAATGTGACAATAATTCAGTGTAGAGGTATGAACCAAAGCTGAATATCAGACACATACACAACCACCAGTGATTATGCACTGATACTGTACAAGCGCTGTACATTTACTCAATAATTGTACCCCAGTTAGGGTTCAGTAGAACGCCTTGTAACTGTTAGTAAGCAAAGAGTGCCTTTTATCTTCACACAGTTGTGCGAGTTGTGTGAGCAGAGAGCATTACTGGTTTATTTTGTAAGCAAGGCAAGGAGTGTAAGATTTTCCACGTCGCAAATAAGCAGCAACTGCCCTTTCATATATGGCTTTCCTTATATGTCACCAGATTCATTTTTTAAAGAAAAAATAATAATTCTCTCATTTCACTGTGCAGGGAAGCTGCTGGTTATGGATCCTTGTCTTTCTCCTAACTCAGCTTCCTCAATGTACTAAATAGGTTCTATCATTATGCAGTCCACCTCTTGAAGTCAAGGCTTCGAAGAGGAAATCTGCACATCAGTGTTAATTTTAAGGTGGCTTCTCCTCTGAAGAAAACTTTGACATTTACTTTGTTGAGACAAAATTCTCAATCTCAGTTCAGCAGGATATCTTTGAATGCACAACGAATTCCTATGACACTACTACTGTTTGTGCGTACATTTATCCATCATCACCTAGAGAACATTTGACACAAACTTTTACTTGATTCAGCATATTTGTTCTGCATTTCTGCTATTTCTTAAGAACTACTAATGAAGGAATAATGGCTAATAATGTATCACCAGGATCCAATAAAATCTGATGTGCCATATGCATTGCTACTTCTGCAGGACGTTTGTCTGATAGAAACATTTCATCATCGAATCAGCGGTGCATCACAAGCTGTGGTTTATCTCAGTCTTTCAGCTTTGAACTCTGAACAGTTTGCAGTGACTGTGATGAGTTAAATCCATCTATCCTGGAACTACATCAGACTGGTATGGTCAGTCTGTGTCAGTGGCTACCCACAGGTAAGTGTATGTGTGCCTGTTTGTGTCTGTCAGCACCAGGGTTCACGCTGGGCTCTGCCTCGGGCCAGACTGTCTGCTCTCTGCCAGGCACTCTTCATCAGGGCGAGGGCCTCACGGCAGCGCTTCTGCACAGAGGGATCCAACACCTCTCTGTGGGGGAGGTCAACCTGTGTATGGTGAAAACACACATGAGGGTTCAGCTGGATGGATGTTGGAGTTAAGATTTTGAATACAGATATTTTGGGACAAATATTGCAGTATCACTTATTCTTTTCTTTAAACCAACGTTTAATCTTCCCACCTGGAAAATGGCCTTCCATGTGATGTCTAATGCCTCCAACAGTCGGTCTCTCTCCTCACAGCCACTGAAATACAGCACCCATGGAGGGAGGAACTGGGTCCGATCTGCTGCAAACTCCTACAGAGGGAGAAAGTGGGAATAAGCCAAGCATAAAGGCTTACATTAAAAGGTCCTAAACACAAAAGAATTATAACAGAACTATATACTGGTACACTGGTACATACATTGTTTTGTGTTTACAATTACAGTGTAAAAGATTCTATCATCATGTTAGTTGATGAGTCGCGTTCAGTAATGTCATTGGTTTCATTTGAGATTGTTCTTTAATAAAAAAAGATTATACCTCTTGATTTATTGGTTACAAAGCAAAACAGAAGTTGATAAGAAAGGTAACTCATGACAAAATATTAGTAGTGCTCAACTAGAGTTGAGCACATCCCTTAAAACTCAGGAGAACCTAATAACTTCTAACTAATACCTTGATTACAAGGTTAATACACTTAAACTGTGTGGCATATAGATCACACATAATTACATAAATACATTAAAGTGAAATATAAAACCATATATTAAACTAACAGAGAGGAGTTTAAGAGATGTTAACTCACAATAACACAGTACTGCTTGTCAGCCTCCACGCTGACGGCAGTGACATCACAGATATCAACGCTGCCCAGCGAACGGAAGAAACTGGTCTGACAGTCCTGATGGCAAGTTAGCAGCTTCGTGTCTGTCACCACTAGGCAACATGGGATACATGGAGTCGGGGCCACACCCTGAGGGATGACCTGCAGGTGAGGTGGTTATAGTGTAATTATACATGGCTTATATGAATGGGGCTTACTGTGCATTACGTATACATACATGAATAAACACCCGTAGTCACGCTGAATTCTGCTCTGATCTGGAGAGCTCAGAGGTTATTTTTCTAAATTTGGGGATCAAAAAGTGGATTTATTTTCACTCTTGTGCAATAGCAGAGGTGCAGACACACGTTGACACTGTTGTTGTTGTAGCCATTTGTGGGCACCCAAGAGCTCTATGACACTACTTCATATTTATACAGAGACCAACAAAAAGGAGACTGCTTGGTGAAAAATGAGTGAGGAAGTTGGACTGCCCGGTACATGCTTAAAATATGTGTCTGTTATCGATTCCATAGGGGTTTTATTTTACTGTGAACTAAGTTGGTATAGACCTGATCGATCTCTGTTCAGAAACACAAAACAAAAAAACAGACAGATGTGACAAGGATTGAATTCAGGCAAATTAGCATCCTTAATTTGGATTCAAACTGATGTAGCAAGTGGGTTCAGCTGTGAACAAACACATATTGTCATATTGGTCATATTGTAACCACCTGGCATTGCTGTTAGGAGGGTTTCATTATATATTTTTGGTGGTGGTGAAATGCTGCCCCCTATTATTTTGGAGCATTTGGCCAGGAATTACACATTGCTCCTTAAATCCAAATTAAAAATGTGTAGGATATCACAGTGAGTGTTATTTTTGTTTGTTGTAAATCAGCGTGTTTGAATTATTTTAATATATTAATTATTTTGTGTGAGGTAGATCTACATTGACAGTATTTAGTCTTGTAGTATATACAGACATAGTGGAAAAGTTTTAGTTTGAAGATGTTGTAAACAGACTGGCCTATTACCCATTATTGTCCCCCTGTGTCTATTAAAATGTTGAAATACATGCAATACTGGAAATGTAAAAGAAATGTTTGCCAAACACACTGCGTATGCACTATACAACTCCGTACCCCTTTGGAGACGGACTGGCAGAGCAGTTGCATCCAATCAGCCATGTCCTGCTCATTGCTGGCACTGAGCTCCAGCGGAGGCCGCTCTGTCAGGATGACCTGGAAAGCGTGGGGACGCTCTGTGCTATTTGAGCGACGGCAGCCTCCACAGTGCTCTCCTCTGTGAGGGGCACAAAGAAAATATATAAGTGAAAATACTTTTCTTACTGATTTTGAACAATAAAGGCCTCCACAGGTTAACCATCTCCCATCTAGTAGGTCTTTTACACAGGAGACATTCTGACGTATGAGAGCAGGAAAAGCACACAAGTATGTTATAAAATGAATGATGGCTGTATTCCATTTAGCTTCTTCAGTTTCAGGGTCCTGGTGCTGGCTCACTTTCATGAATAGAACAAAGCCATTGTGTGGCGGTACTGATTCCCCAAGTCTCAACTCAAGGAAAAGGAGCCTGAGAATCAGTTCCCAACTGCATAATCCAAAAAATAAAAACAACCCACTTATACTTTATTTTAACAATGAAATAATGCCTCTTCAATAACAAATAACAAATGGCTCTTCAATGACTGTTCAATAATGAAATAATGCCTCTTCAGTAAAGGTAATAATGAGTAAAGGGTTTAATGAAAACAAAACCATTAACAAATAAGTAAGCCAGCAGGCAGCAGGTAATTGGGAACTCTCGCACAAATTACGAATTAATTAATTAACGGCTCAATGTTTACTCTTTGTTTAGTGACAATTCTTAAACACTTTTTATGACAACAAAACAGATGGAAAGGAAATCTCAGGGGGTCCTAAAGAACAGAGTTTCAGGCTGACTATGTCTCATAGTGTGAGTTCTGCATCGAACAGAGGAACGATTAGAATGCCCCTGCGTGAGCAGTTCCCCACCTCTCTTATGTCTTCAACAATGGGCGTCGTCACACCCGGATTGGGGAACCACCAAGCTGCTCTCCATCATTGTTGAGGAGTCAGTCCCCACCCCCTATGCAATAGGTGATCCGAATGATCCTCTAATCAACCCAGAGGAATGTTTACATTGATCCAAAATGAAATGGGGAAAAGGAAAACCAAATAGCAGCACACACGAATGAATGAATGAATGAATGAATGAGGCACTGCTACAATTGTTAATGTTATTAGTAACCCCTGTGCTGTTCCTGCTATGACAAGTAAAAATGTCTACTGTTTAGTCAGCCAGTTGAAGCTTACCCCATAGTGACTGACATCACAGGTGTCACATCAATTCTTTCTGCATACAGGTACAGAATCCCATTGCTGCAAGAAAAAAAAGGAAAAATATTTATATTCACCTAATCAGAAGCTTGGCATTATATTACATAAATATAATAAATCTAATATGAAAAGAATGTAATGAAAGATGTGAGGTTACGCATGATAATAAGGAAATGATTGACATTCAGCTTTTCATAAATTTCCTTACTGTTAATGTTCCAGAAAAAAATGATTGTTCCCAGTCCCAAATGTTGGGTTAAAGTCGAGTCTCGAGTATTTTGAGGACGGGTCTCGAGTCACTGTCTGTGTGATTGCCCATACCTGAGGACGAGGTAGCAGCTTTTCCACAGCTCTTTTCCCAGGTAGGTGGATCCAGCCCGGTACTGCACAGTCCCCTCTTTGGTGCTGGAAGGTACTCCAGACCTTGATGGGCCACCCTGGGGTGACAGAGTCATGTCCATTGGATCCTCCCAGTGGACCAGTGAATACAGTTGGATAGAAACTTCAGAAACCTGGAGAAGCAGTCAAGCATTAGTTTAACACTGCTTTGGAAGACAGCCAAAGAATAGGAGAGTGGTACAAGACCCTTGTAAGGAGGGAATCCCAAACGTAACTACAGTCAGAGAAATACTGAGATGTTACTGTTTTTTTTAGTTAAAGTGTTTAAAGTTTAACTTTACATTACTGCAAACATAAGCATACTTTACTGTTTTAGCCGTTTCTGAATCCACCAGGCTGCCAGTTTTTCATTCATATGTCACATGAAAACTGACTTAGAGAGACTTGAGCTACTACAGTATATACAGTTTAACATGGGTTTACCTCACACTGAGATTCCTGGGAGACAAACTTAGTGAGAGCCAGTTTTTCCATGGTAGCATCAGTCAGAACAGAGGGGTAAGGAGGCTCACGACAACCCTTCACCATGGCTGACTTGAGAACAGACAAGAACCACCTGTAAGTGAAGAAGAATGGATTGGATAAGGTCAGACGACATACTATCATCCATTTTGTGATGTGCCCTGTATGGCTCAAAGTCAATATTCCTGACACATAAAACCACAGATATACACATGAGTATTAGAGATTCTGGAGGTGTGCATGCTGGCTCTTTGCACAGGGACACAAAGTGGAAATTAATGCTGGATGTTTTGAATAGTTCAGCTATTGGATCTTTGAATCTGATCCAGTATGGACACACATACACATATACACTCACAAAGTCAGAGAGGCATCAGCTGTGTCCAACAGGAATTTTCTTCGTCTGTTGGTGCAAACCACCGTTACTGTCTGCTGGTCAAGGCCCACCTAAAGGAAAACAGCATTACAACAAATACACACAGACACAACACTAACTTTGTTAGCTGTCACATCATGCTTGAGTCTACATGATTCATAAATATCATATAATGAACTCTACATGGATCGCATTGAGGAGGACCATGTAAAAGATCCCTTATATGACCATAAGAAGAAAACAAGTCAGGGTTTGTAGAAACACAAATAAGGAACAAATGACAAACCTTTGTTTGGGGCACTTACTGAAAGATAGTCCAGCTCATTATAAGAAACAGCATCTTCTACTGTGTAGGGCTTCTCTGCTGCACCTGTAGAGGGAGAAGTACAACCAAGACATACAGTGGGCACATGTTAATGTAATGTATTTTCTGCCAACAGAATAACCCCATTCAAATTCGTTCCCCACTTCCTGGAACATTTTGTTGATCTAATGGGACAATTACAACGGTAACACCTCAGAAACAAACTCTTTAGATTGGACACCATCAGTTTACACATGGTTTTAACTTACTGTACAGCCTTTTCCGTAAATATAAGGAAGAAGAGATCAATGCTCGTTTCCCCTGGGTAAAAATGTATTGTGGTTCCCAATACCAATATAAGTACGTCCTAATTTACAGCTTGTACTGTTTACACCCATTAAGCCAATGCATGCTGGGTTTTTTACACACTTACCCTTCCTAAGCAGGTAGATGTAACAGTCAGTCAGCAGCAAGTAAAGTGGCTGCAGGTCCCCCTCCATATGGCCTGTACTCATTCTCAACATCTGAAAACACAAAGACAAATTCTGTCAAGTGTCTGCAACTTCCATATTCATCTTTCTCAAACTATTATGATCACTAGTGATGTTTTCTGGCAACTGGATTGCAGAAAGTAGCACAGTGTTGCTACAAATAAAGCAGATAACAGACTATATAGTACTATACTATGTTATTTTTCAGACACACAGTCCAAAATCTGGTGTTCTTTATACACTTGATACTTAATTTTAGAGAAATTGTAAAAAAAAATTAAAATAAAATTGCGTTGTTTTGCTTGCCCAGTTTGGTGTGAAAAAGTGTGAATAGTTATAACGTATACCAATTGTAAATTGCAACAGCCCAAAAGCAATTGGCAAACTGAGCCTTGCAACACTTCCACTGAACAACAGTCGCCAAACCACTTCTTCAATGTCAACCAATACCAGAACTTGCTTAAAGACGTATGAAAGAGACACATCAAAATAATTTCTTTTAAAAACTGGCCTTGACATCACTGTACTGCCTTACTTCTTTAAATGTTATCACTCGATTGATAGTTACAGTTGACTCATTACTTATTACTAAGCACATACATTCTTATTTTAATTAATGAGTCCATCTTTGTTCACCTTGAACAGCTGCTCTTCATTCTCTCTGAACACATGAATCATGAGAAGAAGCAAATGATTGTTGTCCACTCTGAAATATGAATAATGAAGAACATTAGACACACTTTAAACAACATTACAACAATAAACAACACAGTTGGTAGAAAACTCCTTACTTAAACTCTGCAGGATGAGAAATTTCAGAGGGACTAAGCTCCTCTTGTAGTTCTTCCGCTTCCTCAGTAACAGTATTCTTGTCCGTTTCATCTCCTACTGCGTCTTCCTCCCCGGTTTTCACGTCTGGCTCCTGTCCTGCTGCTGCTTTTGCCTCTCCTTCACCTTCAAGGCCACCTGAAAGAGTCTGTGACTGGCTATGCTCTGAAGAGTCATAGTGGCCACGACCCGTGGGAGTAGAGTCTGGACTGAAGGCGGTAAAGCAGCATAAGTCTGCAGGCGCAGGAGAGGCCTGCAGGAAGTTGGGGCTCGTGGCCAGAGGGGTGAGAGACATCTCTCTGGGGGCTCGGTCAGGTGGCTTGCCCCCTGAATCCTCTCGAAAGGGCTGCTGTGCAGGGGGTTCGGGGCCTTTGTCACAGCCTTTACTGTTTTTCTCCCCCCCCTCCTCAGGGTGCTCCCAGGCCTCCTCCCTATCCAGAGCCCCATTGAGCCGGTCCATGACATCACGGAGGGGTTGGCCCACCGTGTCCATGGAGGTGTCCGTCATTTCCGGGAGCCGCAGGAGGCCTTCTAATCCGTCCTCATCTCCTTCTTCCACAACCTCTGATCCCACCCTGCTTCTCCTCAACTCTGCCTCAGCATCCAGGTGAATTACAGTGCCGTTTAACGAATCCACATCGTCTGAGGCCAGGAGGCTGTTTTCCATTTCCATGTGCTCGGAGGAGACAGAGTTATGGAGGCTGCTGCTGGAATCTGTGGAGCCCTTCCCTCGTCGCTTTTTGGCTGGTTTCCTTCGTCTGGCCATCCTGGAGGACCAGAGAGGTTAGCTGCGGTTCATCAAATATAATTTGATTGAGAGATAGAATGTGAGCCTACAAACCAGAAACCTGTAGCTACTGTACCTGATGACTTCCAGCTCATTGCTGGCGTTCTCCATGTCATCTCCAGTGGTGGTGCCGTTGTTTTGGCGGCTGGCCACATGAACCGGCGTGACGTCGGCTGAGGTGTTGGTGTCTGAGTCCTCATTGAAGGGGTTGTGCCTGGATGTGGGGCTGTGTGGAGAAAGATGTGCTGCCACCTTCCCCTTAACAGTGCTGGCAGAAAGGACCACCGTATCGCTGATGACTGTCTGGGGATCAGAGCCACTGGATCGCGGGCAGCTGGCCTGGTCGGTCAGATCACCCTCTACCATGAAAATCAAACACCAAGAGTTAATGTAGAAAGTCACACATATTTAGTCCTATATACATATAAGAAATACACTGAACCTTTGGCATTGTCTCAATGGTAAGTCAAGTGAGAAGTTTTACTATACTATATTATACTATATATTATAATTTAGCACTCATTAACATTCTGGATGATTTTTTTGTTTATGTTTTCATCACTAATTAAAATAAAAAAGCTAAGTTGACCAGTGAGACAATTTCACAAAGACTTTGTGTATTTCTTCATCAGAGTCAAACACAAAAAGATGTTAGGGGCTGCAGTGCTGTTTGTAGTTCTTTGGCAGCATCAGAGAGGCACAAAATGCAGAGGACATCAAGTGGGTACACAGGCAGCAGCTTTCTTTGCAGTGGCACAGGCGTAAGTCAAGCATTACTTCTGCAGCTAGAGATGGGTCATAATATAAATATTTAATAATACTGTTTGCAGGAATCTACATTTTTTGGTACTTGGATTGGGAAGTACTGGGATTCATCATGAGCTAAACATGATTTCTTTTGCAAATTAAAATTCAGACCATGCAATGAATAGTAAACCAGGAGCCGACAGATGTGAGTGTATTCCACGTGCACATAGCAGCTTACCGCAAACACATGCTGTAGTAATACACAGCAATTTGTACTGTGTGACCTTTAGCAACTATTCGTGATTGTTACCTCACACTACAGTTGAGCTGAACCTAGGCCAGTGCCACATATCACACGAAGAGAAGACATTACAAAAAAAACGATACACCAGACAAACAGATAACACAATGTAATGGAGACAGACTGGACGAGGTGAGTGCCAGTTACATCAGGCGTTTGCTGTGGTAAATAATAAGGCAGAGCTTTAGGATCATTCCCCGGATGAGTAACACATGCATAACATGACAGATGAGTTCCCCGTACCCACCCAACAATCCCGCAGTGAACCAAAAAGTTGTGCTTCTTCCCAAACTTACCTGTCAACATATTGTGTATGATGGAACCTTGTTCATTAATTGTTTGTAATTTAACTGAAAAATATTAAGAAAAGCTTTTAAAATGTGTGGCAAAAGAAGGCTTTAAGTTAGAGTAACCCTCATGTTTCACAGGTAGGTTTAGGAGAGAGTAAATGTTACCTGCTACTAAAATGGTCGTCGTAGAAGTCTGTTTGTACAATAATTAATTAAGCTACTGCCGTCCTATTTAATGTTCATCAAATCAACCGCACAACTTTAGATCCAAACCCACATGTATTCCAACTGAAATCATTCCCAAAAGTTGAAGCACTTTTACTTATGTTCTTTTGATCATACTTGTTTTCATGTCCTTTGATCAGCAGTCTTTTGCACCAGCTAGCTGTAGCTTACATATTCACATGTCTAATTACTGGTTAGAATACCCAGCATGCATTAAACACAAACTGTGGGATGGCCATGCCAGATAGAAGGGAGGGAAGGAGGGATGTAAAGGCGGGGGAGGGAAGGGGTTGACCAATGTCCCACCTTCCCAGTCTGCACTTGGCAATGACTGCAACACGGGGAAGATGTCACCGAAATCATAATCTAAAAAAAGGAGGGATAACATTCAACATTAGAGAGAGATGAAGTGGAGAGAAGAGATCGAGACAATGGCACAGGAACAGAAAAATAACATGAAATGTGGTAAATATGAAATAACCGAACCAATGGGGGAAAAGTGGGAACTAAAACAGGGAAACTGACTCAGTACTTTGAGGAGAGTTATGGGGAAAGCATTCACTAAGTGCTGCAATCACCCTGATGAGAACATTCTGTAACCATGAGCGTCTGCACGCCAAGTGATCCATTTGATAAAATGCACTTGTGAGTGCACCATGAGTCACAAGAGTCTGCAAATATCAATCCAACTTCTGCATCAACATGCCATTAGCTTGACATCACTGGGTGAATTTGTGCCAAAGCATATGAGGGTGTACTTGCACTCCAGCAGGGCCTGATCAAATCATAAACGCCAAAATAAAGGGTGCCATTCAACAAGAGACTCACATCACAGTTAGTCTGTATCATAAAAGGGGCTAGATTAGAGGCATTTCAAAACTCTGCAGCACATAGAACTGAAACTAGACATTTGATGGGGCCAATTTAAAAGGGAGTGACACTGACTGGCCAATAATTATTCTGAACTAAATGCCAGTATGGGTCCAAAGGATTGTGAAATCAGTTAGTCTGACTGTGTGTCCCCTCTTCTAAAATTAGACAACTACTGGTGGTAAAGTGAAGCAAGTTAGAGAATACCAGTGCTGCTTACTAGAGATATCCTGAGTCAATCCTGATAATTTGGTATTGAGGCTGATCCAGGAATATTTTAATGGATTAGTATTGGCCAATCAAAACTCAATTTGTTCTTTACTTAACTTTGAACACTGTAGCTTGCTAGTGTTGCAACACGCTGCTCTCTTTAATGACTCTGCACTGTGAGCATTTTGTTCCATATGTGAGTTAAAATCAGAGCATGTGATTGTGAAAAATGATTTGGTCACACCAGTGATTGACTGCCTGGATGGCAAAATACACTTGGCTAAGTTCTGACAGTAACATATGTGTTATCTCTCTTTATTAGCTCTGTATGAGCACCTTCAGTGTTTGGATCAAGGAGCTTGTGAACAAATAAGGTGTGTCAGATTTGAAATGACAAAGCTATTATTCATATGTTAGATTAATACGTGTATAAATTTAACATTTAGGTAAATAGAAGTATCAGATAGGACTCTGTATAGGCAGACACCCAATAACAAATGACTAAGATTCCGATCAGGACATCTCTACTGATTACCTTCACTGGAGGGGGCTATGGCGCTGTCATCCCACTCCAGGTTAGTGGAGGTGAGGGAAGTGAAGGAGTGCAGGGACAAGCTGTCTGAGCTGGGCAGCCTTTCCTCAAAGTCCAGCAGGTTATGGGGTTTGTAGTATTCTGGCATGTAGGGGGCCACGTCCAGATAGGGCACATCCTGAATCAGCCAGACCCAACAGAAATGTTATAGACACGCTGCTAACATTTAGGAGCTGAATTTCTCTTGACATCGTAATGAAATGTGTGCTAACCAGCTCCAGATCAAAGCGAATGAACTCCAGGCCGGACACTAGTGTGAGGAAGAGTGTGAGGTGGTCGTGACTGCAGACCAGTGCATTCCTAGCAGAGAAGAGAATCAGAAATCAAAATCATTTGAGTGACTTACCACAAAAATACAATAATATATATATTTGTTTGCCAAATTAACAACAGAAAGTAAAACCTGAAATGCAATATAACAAATCAGGATTACTGGATGACTTACTTGAAGTAATACTTCTGCAGTAATGCTTGGTTCTCCTGGAAAAGGCGTAGATAGCTCTCTAAAGAGCTCTCACTCAATGCCAGGTACAACCATGCACGACCTACACAGAAAAGAGAACAGTTCTCTTCTAAGCATATAACCCACTGAATGATGAAGTTATACTTTATCCCCACAAGGACTGTACTGCGTTTTTAATTGTGTGACAAAGATGTCTCACTTCGACCAAGGTTGGTTGCAATGTGCTGAAGCTCATCTATCTGTCGGACAGCCTCTCTCCTAGTGAAGTGAAGGACCAGGACCCAGTAGCCTGAGGAGATGTCCTGCAGCCTGCAACATAGAAAACAGTCAATAATATCATGCGAATGAAGCCAAAGCGGGACAAGGGGATTAGGAAACAGCAGTAGGAATAAAAACAAATCTGGTTTCTAGTATTTGCAGTATGCACCTCTTTCCAGTGTGCAGCCTACTTAAGCCTCTTACCCATACAGCAGAGCGTGGTCAAGGTGTTCACACAGACGCTGCAGGACCCGGTCATGATTTCGGATGGCGGGAGTCTCATCTTCACAGGCTGCGAAGTAACTCTGCAACTGTAGAGAGAGGCATGGTTTCTCTGCTGCTTGTTTTACTGGGGAGGGGAAAGTTTTGACTGCTCTCTTTTATAGAACTGATTGTATTTAAATTACGAGGAATATTTTTCAGCATTTATGTTGTATATACCTGAAACCAGCCACGTAGGTATAGATACATTTTATATACACACTTTATTTAACCAGGTTTATAACCAGGAAATAAAATGTCCACAAGTGTTCGGCCAATCTGGCATGCTGAATTGCTCTCGGAGGAAGTTGGTGTTAATAACTTTCAAAAGAATGCAAAATCGGCATTTATGAAATTGCTTTAATGCAAACTAGCCAAGCAATAGAGTCTTTTTTTGGCCTTAATGAATTTTTAACCTGATTATCAATCATTCCATATTTTTGGCTCTGTACTTAAGCATACTGGATTGGAAATACAACAATACAGTACGAGCAAACATTGTTTCTGACCTAAATCCAACTGAGCATGTGTTTTACTGTTGCGACTCCAGTGTATGAGTACTCCTTCGATTGCTGCTAATATGCTGCTAATGACCAGACTGAAGGCAAAAAAAATCCATGAAACAAGCAGTAAGTGACTGACAGAGGATCCCCCGGGGGAACATACCAAGCGCCTGTTGATGTCTGTGGGTTGGAGACTTAAACCAGGCATGTGTTTGTGCAGAATGTGCAAGTATTTTTGGTCCCCTCAAATTGGGGGATTATGGATTAAAAAGGCTACAATTTCAGCCTTTTTCATCTGGTGTGGATATTAAATGCGTTTCATTGTGGTCGACCATCCGACAGTAACCTTGCATTAGCTTTGAGGATTGTGAACCAAAGAAAAAGGACATTATATCCTGAGACTATCTTCACATGACTAAGCAATGTTTGTCTGAGATAAACACTGTAACCTTTCTTGGAAGCTTGAGGCATTCATTTTCGTTCACAGTCCTCATGCAGTCAATATGTTAGAGATAAACAGAGTAATTGGACTGAAAACTGACAAATGTGGATTAAGGAAGTAAGAGACAATACTGGGCTAAAACACACCAAGATGTGGCTTTCTAATGCAATCATATGATTATGGGACTCCTAAGGGGAAACAACTGATTGAGAGACAGATGAGAAAGCCCATACAAAATAAAAACTTGGTTTTGGAAAGTGAATGTACAAACATGAAGGAAGAGGAGGGCAACGATGCAATGTTGTCTGTCAGGTTACTTGAAAGGTAGCTTCACAACTCCACAGGCATAGTTGGACCAAAAGAGCTCAAATATTTCACAACTTAAATGGAAATCAGGCGCAAAGATCAATTGCCTATGCTGCAAATGTGTATCTGCGGTATGATTGCAGGTGTGTTTACAACACATGCGGCAGTGAGCAGGGGCTTGGTGCCACTATTGTTCACCAGGGTCAGAAAGAGAAACTACAACATGACAACCACAATCTGCAGCTGTAAAACATAAATGAGTAATTTATAGTTAATGGGCTATTTGAGTCAGTATAAGGGCAAGGCCCTTCCATGACTGCGAGCTGGTCATGTCCACCCCGACTTGTAAGTTGCCCTCTTTGGCAGACAAAAGATGACCTAACGCTAGCTACAGTAATTCAAGCATGTGGAAATACTTTAATCCTGAGACAATATTTAAGTGTGCTGACCAGGACAGCGCTTACCTTCTTGACGGACAGGGAGATGTTTTCCAATATGCGATCCTTTACTTTGAGTTGATCCATCACTGGTCTATTGGCAGCTTACAGCAGACTGTCAGCTGACTGCTTCAAGCACGGCTCTTGTTTTGCTAAAGCTAACGCCGCCCGCCGCAGCTAGCTGACATTATCTCAAACTAACGACACAGCTTCTGTTGTCACTTGTATACATTGACTTGTGACAGCAGCGCTAGTTCACAGCCACCGCGTCAATGGCCAGCGAGCAGCAAGATGAGTTAACCTCTGTCATCGGATCCGGTTAGTCAAGGAATGTTTGCCTAGCTTCGCGTTAGCTTGCAGCCGCTCTCCGACGGTGAGACTGAGGCTGGGGGTGGCTAAGTTTTACAGTCCAACCATTCATCACTTTCAGCAGCAGTTTGGTTTATCATACTCTTGGTTGTCGCACTCTGGCTAGCTATTGTGATTCAGCATTTGTCTATATATAGCTAATTACACCAAAGTCAAGGATGCTCAGGTTACTTAACGTAGTGTGTTAACTTACTAACCTAACTGACTGAGCCTTACGTCACCACTTGCCTCGGTACGCCTTAATAACGTGAGGAGGGCTGAGGGCGGAACAGCGTTCAAAAGTTTCACATTTCTAAGGGTGTTTTGCTCGGGTTTGTGCTTGAACACAATACATCGTAAAAGATGACTTGAGTTTGAATCATGAGAACAAACGTATTAATTCGGCGGCGTTCAAGACTCTATGTTTTAACTTAATCATAAAAAAAAATCTGCGTTTTGAATTAGTTCACTGTCCATTTCATTCAGTGACCGCAGGCACCAAGGCGAGTCACGTGGTGGAAGGTTGGACCTTTCACACACTGCAAGGTGGAGAAGAGTTATGGCAACTGGCCGGAAGTCACGTTGTGTCTATATCCAACTTTTTTCAATGTAGCTGCAAATTCAAATCGCCAAGTTTTTATTATGTGTTTGGCGAGAATGTCCATACCGAAAACGTTGTTCCCATCAGTGTACGTCGCTACAACCAAAAACTCCATGTCATAGGAAAGGATAGTAATTTACACAGAGATTGGAATGTCAATATTTTATTTTGTTGTTAAGATGACTCCAACTTTTTTGGAAACACATTAAGGTCTTACCAAATACATATGAACAGTTGGCATATTCAGTGCATGTAGTTATCACAATAACCTTTCCTGGTTGAGAAAATGTGGGTCAAATTTTCATATGGATTTCTTTCAAGGCGAGTGCTTTACTTAGGAGATACTTTTATGAAAAGTAAAGCAACTTTATACAAACGCTGACTGACTTCAGGTCATTAACAGGCCTTTGAGTGATTTCAGAGTACAAAAAACAAAACAAAAAAAACCCCTATCCATAGCGTTACAGTCAGTACCCCATTCTGTCCTCCAGACCCATGTTAGTTGAGTACCCCAATAACCAAACAGATACTGTATTTTTACAGAGGACTGCAGTCCAAGTCCCTGTGTGAAGATTCAAGACATTCAATTTCAGCTCTTCACACCGCAAGTTCAATTCTGTAATCTTGTTATCCCGTCCCCCGTTGTTTCTCTTTATTAGTCTGACTTCTCCTTCTCTTTCATGTGCAGGAAGACTATGCTGAAGACGAAGAGTCCTGCCATCATGGAGAAGACGCTGGCATAGTATGGGTAGGCTGAGGGGATGAAACGCTCATACTGAGTGTGCTGCAGGGGACGCACGGACACCTGTGATAAAGAAACAAAATGGTACAAGTTAGCCCACCATATATTAAAGCCTGGTTGTTAAATGAAAGTTAAATGCAAACGCAAGTGCAACCGGTTCCAAGACACAATACTCAGAAAGTAGACTTTTAAGTAATATGTGATGTGGTTACGAGATTGTCCTACTGGTACTAAATAAAGATGATCAATCTCTAGTATTTCTGTCCGTTTATTTGTCACTTGCATGGCGATCTGTACAACCACCATACCAGTGGTTTGAAGTGTCGTAAACCTAAGTTAACTTGCCTGAGTGGAGGAGTAGAGATGTGTGTATCCCAGTCGGTTGTAATCCACTTTAAACTGGAAGACCCCGTACACATCAGGCAGCTTGAACTGGATGCTGTATTTACCTCCTATTAGAAAGACAACACAGCATTTATAGTCGATGCAGTTTGTGGCTGCAAACCCCCCAATCACAGGGATGCAATACACTTAGCTTGTTAGCATGAATTAAAATGTTCTATAGCCACAGCAACATACCATTTTTCTTGAGATATGTCCTGACGAATGGATCGATCCTCACAAACTCAAGCTGAATATCATCTCCATCGAAGGGAACCCAGCGGCCCTCGGACAACATCTCAATGACGATGCTGTACTCCTGCGTGGGGAAGTTTTACACTCATTGAGATGTACGTATAAAGATACACAGAGCAGTCTTTAGGGTGTTAACTGTTCACATAAGCCACTGAAACTTTAGACTCACCACAAGGTCGGTGATCGTGTATGCTGCAGGGGGAGTGGTCTCTCCGACAGGATGGTGGGTAACAGCTCCCACCCTGAGGACTCCAGCCTCTTTGAACACCCAGCGAGACAGAGCCTCAGCCAGCTCCATGTTCCCCGTCTGCTCGTGCCTAAAAGACCACAACAAAATTTGATTTAGTCCAGTGAGTCGTCCATATCTGATGGTATATAGTTTGTTTTATTACATATTTTACAGTAGAACTGATCGATATTTTACTGTTTGTCAGTAAATCCTCTATACCAACCATGTTTGTCAGCAGTTGTTACAGCCTTATATACATGCTAGACGTACTAAAAGGAGTTTTTAACTGGTTATGAAACTCTAAATGTAATACTGATGCCTCTATATGACCTAGATAAACAAACAAGACCGTCAGCAGTAAGACTGGCTACGTTTATATAATTATTCGTAATGCCTGCCAACAGGTCGGAATCTCCTTCAAATCAATGAGGCACTACCGCTTTTGTCCACATGTGGCTGCCAAAATCAACAAAAATGATTAAGATGGTGTTTCTTATGAGGGCTTTGACTACACAAATTTTAAATGTTATACCTTAATACTTCTTCTAACACAATGTAAGACGAATTTCATATTTTAACATATTAACTTGATGAGTTGCACAAATATTATGTTCATTATAGCATTAAACGCAGTTGAGTAGTAACAGAACACCTGTTCACATGGCAAAAAAAACCTGATAATGACCAGAATGTCACTGATGACAGTTTTGATGTAGTAAGTGGAAGCTGTAATAGGATCCATGAGACAGAAAATGAGAGATGTGATGAACAGTGAAGACTACCTCTGGGAGCCAGGCGTGGCCTTCTGCACAGCGGAGTTAAAGAAGGCATCGCTGAAGAAGTCCAGGGAGCCGCTGAAAACTACTCTGGCGTTGTTTCTGGCCTGAAGGCCGGCGATCAGTAGGGTGTTTTTGCCAACAGCATGGGGGTACTGGAAAAGTAAAAGAAAAAATTTTAGTCAGAAACAAAGCTAATGATGTTAATACTGGGTAGTTTATTTCTAATCCAGAGAATATTAGGCTGTCCTAAGCAAGCTCAATATATATACACTTATACTATAGGGAAAACTTTCCTTACAATTAAACTTCTTTTTAATTAACAATCTGATGTATTTGTTAAGCTCAGTGGTCGTACCTGAGAGATGGGTCTGTCTGGGAAAAAGGAGTAGGAAGTGGAAGAACCGGTAAGGATGTCCAGAACAAGAGGGTTCTCTGGGTCTGCCACCATGCTGGAAGGGAGGGGGAGGAATGGCATGTTAGTCAAATCTATGATTTGCATTTGCACTGCAGTTAATCTTTGAACATTTCTATGCTGTTTCTTTATTCAGAAGTCTCTGCTACAGCCAAGCACAGTATTTAATCTAATATAGTAATTATTTCAAACTCGTAAACATGAGCAGTGAGTGAATGTCTTTTATGGAATAGCAACAATGTCAACATACTGAATGTTAGGGTGAGGAAGTGCAGTAAGACACTTTTAAACTGTGTTCAGTTGTGCTTACCCAACACCCTTGAACAAAACAGGTTTATTGGTGGGTTTGCCGACAATAGTTGGAGCTTTCAGCAGGTTCTCTGGATCAGCAACAATCATGGTGTGCTGGAGACAAGAATGATCACTTATAAATGACAACAGGGAGTGTCAGTCCTGATGACTGGATTTGTGAAACCGGATGTGCCTGCTTTATGAACAGAGCTCTGTTTACCTCTCCAGGGTCAGACACATCATAGTTGTGATGGTCAATGACAGCAGTCTTTTCCTCATCAAACTCTATGCCACACTCACTACCCAGCTCCCTCAGAGGGTCACCTGTGAGGGAGGAGAGTATTAATATAGACAATATTATAGTGTATATAAATATAGTATATAGGTTATATAATATCACAGCAAAAGCTTTTGCATATCAACTGACCAATATCTGAACTTGCAGCAACCAGGACATTGCCTCCGCCATCAATGAAGGATGTAATAGTCTCCACATTAATATTTCCTCCAAAGTCTGCAAATGACCAAAAAGAAATGATTTTTTTTGAACATTGTTCCAACAAGGCAAACACAATCAGATTTTGAAGAGTGTGAAATTTACCCTCAACTGATGGTGCGAAGATGATTAAATGGTCGTACAGGAACTGGCCGTATTTGATCAGAGATAGGGAGGGATCATCAGCAGTCTTGAATGAGATGTCAAAGCCACGATCTGAAAAGCAGAGATACATTATCCGCTGCACTCGTGACACACTTGTCATGCATTTCTGCAATAACTTAAACAGAGTGGCAATGCACTGCATTGCAGTTCCAAAGGATTGTGAACGTCCCTTATCATAACACCATTAAACCTTTATAAGCACTGATGTAATAGCTAATAAGATTGTAATACTAATGTCAGTTATTATCACAAGTGTGAAGTAGCACCACCATTATTACAAGTCATGTATTTTTTGTTGCACTAGTAATGTTATTAGATGACTTTATACAGTATAAATTCCTCTTATTATGACTGTTAAGCCTACAAATATTAAATTCTACAGCTCAAATGGGAAACTGGGCTTCCTGCACTACATTATGTACCTGCTGTTTCATTAATCCAGGCCCGGATAACATGTTGACATCCTGTTAACAACTGCATGTATACACAAATGAAGTTACTCTCATGTACCTCGACCAACTAACTTACATCGGGTATAAACTCATGTTAGCTTGAAGATGACTGCAAAATATAAATATTTTTAATTATTAACTATTTGGTGTACTAGAGGTATGCCGAAATAAATACTAGCCCTGTATCGATTCGATGCAGTGTAATATATCATTACAAAACGCGTACACTGCCATTATTTAGTTAGAAATACATTAAACTGCCAGAGACTTGAATGAAGTTTGGCGAGACACAGCGAACATAATAAAGCTAACGTTAGCCGCCTTGTGTGCTCCGTGAAGCACAGGTCTACCATCTTAACCCCAAAGGGCTCTTTATTCCCTTCAGAGAGCTCTGTGTAATACAAGGGGGTCTATAATGGCACAGAGCTGCTATGATGTTTGTAGACGAATAAAACACGAATCTCGAACTGACCTGCTAGACTGCGGAAGAAGATTGAATGGGTGTCTCTGATGTTCAGGTTGTCCAGCAGGACCAACGTTTTCCCGTCAGCCAAGGCGCAATGCAACATGGAAGCTAACGAAAGGAATAAAAGGACATTGTTGTCCAAAAGCCTGAACCTCCTTTGGGTCATCGTTCCGGTCCGTTTTTTGCACGATGATAAAGAACAGGGCCGGCTCGTCTGCACGACTCCTGTCAACGACGCCATTTTGCTGCAGAAGTCGACGTCAGCGTTAGCAGTCGAGTTAACTTTGACCCCGAGATCCAGCCAATCACAGAGAGGAACGCGTCGCACTGACTGCCACTCCGCCAATGGGACGAAAGCTTTATTATAAGACTGACAATCACGGAAGAACACAAGTCTAGAGCATGGATCTGACTGAAATCATCATTCCTACCATATTTATTGGATGATCATAACCAAGATCAATAACTCCACGACTTTATGATGAGTTCATTTGAAGGGCCTAAATGACTTATAACCTCGAAATGTTTGTTGTTTATCTTAAGAGAGGCACTATGGTTACAAATAATTTGTCTGGCTGAAAACAGCCTATTAAATGCTGCAACAAAAGTTATTATTCTATATGCACAGCACAACACAAGGCTGGTCAGACTGTGTGATGTATCTTTATTGATTAGATGGTGACTTCCAAAGAGGTTAAGCAGTGTTACTGATATTCAATAGGGCATCTTGTAAGGTGTTCATAACAGAAACAATAATGACGTAATACCATCAGTGACAGGTAAAGTGACCAATATGACCAGTTTACTGCAATACCAGGTGTGTACCAAGCTGTCTTGCCATCAGTGTGAAACTGAGAATTGTTCACCACTTTGTCATCACCACACATATTTCTTTTTATCTTTCATCAGAGGTATTAAGACTTTTTAGAGGAAACATAAACAATATATACAAATATACATGCACAGCATTTACAATGTTCGCCACTACATGAATGCATGACATCCCACTTCTGTAAAAAGGAGGTGATAATTACCCCAATTAAATCTTTAATAGCCCCACAAGTTCATGTGGTTAATCTCTGTATAATGTGCTTTTCATGAAAATACTTCAACTAAGTACAATAAAATATTCTGACTATTTAAGGAAAATGTACATATCTCATCAGAGTGAAATGGAAAAATAACACGAAGCTATATTAGGTAAGACAGAATCGTGATCTACATGTTTTTATACAAAGGACAATGCATGTTCCTGCATTTTAGTCTAAAAATAATCAAACTATACAAAGTAGTATAACCATCTGAAAGAATTCTCAACAATATTTACCAAATCCCTGGATATCACCTCGCTTTCAGGAACTAGGACTGGCAAAAACATGATTTCTGACCATAGAACATAAAGTTGTTTAAAAAGTCTTGTATGCTATGAATCCAGTTAACATCATGACATGTGAAACTGAGGCCTCATCGACTCACTCCATTTCTTGTATTTCCTTCTCCTGTATAAATTAGATTTCGGTTACAAGCAATATTTCACACACAAATGTGCCCCGCTACGCCTGAGTCTCACATTCCATCTGCTCTTCTTTTTCCTCCTGTACCTCTGCTGCAGCTTCATCTTTCCCCTCTGCATTGGTTTCCATCTCTCCATCCTCCCTCTCTTCCTCATGAATCACCCCTCCTGACCCTTCTTGTTCTTGTGTCTCCTCCACCATTCCTCCTTCTGCCTCTCCCTCTTCATCCTGGGCACGGAAGATCAGCTCTCCTTCCTGGATGACCTGTTCGGCTGTGGGTTGCCATGTTGTGGCAGAATCTCCCTCGGTGGCGGTGGCTGTGGTGTACTGGTAGAAGTCAGAATCTGCCTGAAACATGACCAAGGCCTGAGCTGTGTGTATGCGTACGTGCTGGGCTAGGGAGCTGGCGTCCAAGAATTTATCACCACACGAGTCACAAGCGTACAAGATCTGGGTGTTGGGGTCTGGGAACAGAAGAAGAGTTGAAAAACAAGGTTAGCCATTCACATTTCTCATAGTGTTACCTTTAGAGGTACAGCCTCTGTGTCTTAGAATGAAACTAAACAGCAGCATTTGACAACATTAAGCAAGTTATGACAGCAACACAATTATCTAACCAATTTACCTTTCAGATTTATTCAGCAATAAAAAGTATAAAAACAGTATAAAGTAAAGTAGTATAGTACAAAAAAAGAGTTTTCTCCATATATTAGCCAATTTCCACCTTTAAAGTCCTTAAAATGCTCAGATAAAATTTAAATTTCCATTTCACCATTACAACTCACTGACAACTGGACCAACATTTTTTTTTCAACATCCTAACACTTATATATATATATATTTTGTTTTTTAAATCAAGCTTATTATACTGTTGTAATGCAGTTTCAAATCTACACAAATATTACTTAAAGCCCCTTCAAGAAACTTTTATTTTGTTCTGATTCTGTCAGCCTTTGTGGACCAAAGTGATAGTGTTTCTACCGCTTGTTTTAATGACTCAAGGGGAATCTGAGTAAATACAACTTGGTGAAAGGCATTAGTATAACGATATAGAAATGTCCACTCTTTTTGCTGATGGTCTTGTATCGGTCAGTATTAATTAAATATAATTGATAATAACAAATATGATTATAAATTATCTGTATCCCAACCTGTGTCTGATATCCTGTTAAGTCTGATGTGCTGCTCCTGACCCCATTGTTTCTATGGTTTTCTAATGCTATATTGTTTACGTTTATATGCTATAGTGACTTCCTTGCTGTCTTACCTGCTTCTTGCACTTTCTCTACTGCTTTGGTGATTTCAGCTTTCAAAGCCTCTGTCTCATCTGCAGCCACTGGAACAACTGTAAACAGACACAGAACACAAAGTAAACAAACACTGTCTAAGCCCTTTAATCCTTCATGCTTCTTTCATTATCTGCACAAGTTCAGGGTACTATCTGTAGCAGGACATTGACATTTCCCCTCAGATCACTGAACTCGGCCTTGAAGATTCTGTCTGACCTGTCAGCTGAGCTACAGCGCTGGCTGCCAGGGCCTCGGTTGCCAGGGTGACGATGTCCTCTGTGGTGACAGTAACTATGTTGATCTCGCTGTCGGATGTGGATGCCCCTGTGCACCCATCAACCCCATCGTCTGTGCTGCCGCCGGCTACCACCAGTCGCTTCATGCCGGCCTTGCCCTGGTGGACGGTCTTGACGTGGGAGCGCAGATTATCCACCCGGTTGAACCCACGGCCGCATTTATCGCACAGGAAAGGTTTCTCCCCTGAGAGAGCAGGGCGGACAGAAGGAGAGAAGAATGGCTGAAAGCAGTGGATGTAGAGGAATAGTATCAGAGACTTAAAGGCTGTCTACCTATTTCCTCCATTAACGTGAAGTCAGATAATTATTTAATAACAATTTTGACCATACCTGTGTGAATGATAATGTGCTTCGACAGGTCTCCTACATTAACAAATGCCTTGTTGCACATCTGACACTTGTGTGGCCGGACATTGTCATGATGCCGAATGTGATTGGCCAGTTGACTCGACTGCACAAACCTGTCCAGAGAGACAGACACAAGATACATCTTTCACCTGGCTTACACACATTCACCCAGCATTGCATTTAAATGGTCAATTCAAAAATATTACAAAAGATTTTTTTTCTCTCACATTAATGTTAGTATATTACTTTTTGATGATAGACTAAACAAAATACCTGCTAAGCCATATATGTGACCTCAGTGGGAAAATGAGCCTTCTGTTACAGCATGGACTTATCTGCTTGCTTACCTTTTGCCACAGCGATCACACACGTAAGGCTTTTCTCCAGTGTGCTGACGGACGTGAGCGATAAGTGAGCTAGCCTGGGTAAAGGCTTTCCCGCAGATAACACAGACACAGGGCTTCTCTCCTGTAAAACATGAATTACAGTCTCACCATGGTGGGATGTAGATGATATACTGAATCATGTATGTTGCCTTCACATCCCATAGTCCATCTGAATGTCATGGGAGTACCTGTGTGAATGCGTTCGTGCCGCTGAAGAGCTCCGGGGTCACTGAAAGCTCTCTGGCAGTGCATACAGATGTACGGTTTCTCCCCACTGTGAACCCGCAGGTGTCTCTTTAGATTTCCTAAAAAGCAGATACCGTCACATAAAGGTTAGGCTAAATGCCTCAAAGCAAAGACACCACTGCAGAAGTTCTTTAGTCCTTTAGATAACATGCAGACAAACTGAAAGCAGGTCAAATTGTGTTTGCTCCAGATAAAATGGTTTAAAAAAATCTGACTAATGGGTGCCACTGAATACTTTATGGCATTCTTCTGAAAGGTTGAAATAACATTTAAATGTCTGAAAAGGTGGGTATCGGGAGATGATTATAAATGCTCAGTAAATGCTACGTCATGTCAGTGACCTCCCTTGCAGATCCCTCCACACCACAAAATCTCACATTTCAGTTATCAGGCTCACGTACAACAGGGCGTTTGTATGACAAGTTAACTGTCGCTCTGTGTATTCACTGTGTATTCACACCACTGGTAGCGCCTCACTAACTTTAACTGAAATCATGTGACAACAGTAGGGTGGCAACTAACGATTATTTTCATCATCAATTCACAGTCATAAAGGTCCCAAAGCTAAACACATACTATTTACAATCATAAAAAAGGAGAAAAGTGGGAATCGTCACATTTGAGAGAGTTTGGGGAGAATTTCAATTTGTTGAGAAATCTGTTTCAGTAAAAACTTCAACCATCAAAAATAAGTTAAACATATAAATATAAACATAACGTCATACTATGTTCTTACCTGAAGTAGTAAACTGTTTGCCACATTCCTTGCACTTAAGAGGTCCGTCAGTGATGTGGATTTTTAGGTGAGCCTTAAGATTTCCCACCTAAAGAAAAAAATCAGATAACGAGTTAACACATTTCATATAATACTGGCAATTAAATGTTAATGTTGCAACTCTACAATTAAAGATATTATAACGTTTGTCTGAAAATCTGCAATCAAGCATTATGTTTGTAGTACAGTTGCCTATTTTTGGGTATAATATATAATATGGTTTAATATTAAAATATTGTTAAAAATATTATGGCTTCTGTTTTTCCAGAGAAGCAAAACCTTCCAGAACATGTTATTACCTGGTTAAAGCGTTTGTCGCAGTGTGGACACTTGTTGCCCTTTTCCGTGTCGTGCGTCTCCAGATGTCGCATCTTGGCGGTGGGGTCAGAGAAGGCCTTCTCACAGAAGTCGCAGTG